CACACCCCCACACTCCTGTTTTCCTCTCTCTCCTTCCTGATCTCTCACTCCCTCGCTCAGGCACGCTCGTAGAACTGCTCCTGGTGGGTGTTGTGCTAGAAAGGTTTTTTTTTTTTTGGTGAGGTGAGAGGATTGGCCCGGCGGCACGCGGACTGCCATGCTGGGTTTTAGTGCCCCGGTGTCAGAGCCCCACAGCGCGGCTGTTTGAAGAGAAGAGTGTCTCTGTGTGGTCGGAGTGGGATTACCTTGTCAGCACTTCAAACTGCGCAGGTGCACGTATCGGTGCGCGCACATGTATCACTAAGCCGGTGAATCTGTGCGTGTTTGTGTGCACACCTGCCATTTTTCAATTATCTTTCATTTCCCACCGCTGAGAGATTCTTTACCTGTCCAGACATGTCCTCACTTGACGAGGGAGGTTGAGAAAGATGGCACTGTAGTTGTCATAAAAATAAAAGGAGTGTGTGCATATGTGTAATGACCAGTAAGACAACAAAGAGACACACCTTCAAGTGCTATTGTCAAGCCTTTGCATGCAGCACCTCAGCAGTTCTTCTTTGAATGTTTATTAACCCTTCAACAGTAAAAATAAACAGAGCTGGGACTTACAAATGACTGGCTGTATCAAATCCTGTCGATAAAGGTATTTCATTATGTGTTGGAATAATAATAATAATACATAGACTGCATAGTAGCCTTGAGCATTCAGTGTCTGATATATTTTAAATATGCTTTACAGAGATATTGCAACATTGTTGTTTAAATCATCACTTTATTTTATAACTATTTTTCTTTTTGTATTGCTCTTGCTCTTATTGTTATTATGTTATTATGTTGCATTGTTGGAGAAGCCTGTGACATAAGATTTTCAACTACATAATTACTCTGTAGCTATGTCAGATTGACAATAAAGAACCTTGAACCTTGAACGGTGAATGGTTGAACATGAATGGTCTTAAAAAGCTTTTAAAATGGACATAAGTTACATCATGTAACAATGTGTATGGTTAGAAATTAGATGAGCTTCTCACTTCTTAAAAGTATTAAATTCAATGTAATGAATCTGTGTCAAAATGGTTCCTTATCCTGTAACTATTAAGAGAAAAATGTGCAGAGAAATTAGTTCAATTTTTAAAAACCGTGCAGTTTTACTCACCAGTGGTGTAAATGCAGGATCACATTTTTCTGATGTGCCAGCTTCATTAGCACATGATGTGTTTCATTATTATTTATCCCAAGCCATTGGAGGCTTCATTAGCTGCAGACTGCGTCAGCACAGTCTCTATATTTAGCAGCTTTTTATTTATTCAGAATAGCCACGTGTTGGATGGTTTGCCCACTTAGCATGTTGTATCACAGCAGCTCAGAGACGAGTTGAGAAAAGAGAGGTGGGCTGGTCTGTGGAGAAATGAGCCTCATTCCACCTGTGTCACCCCACCAGACGTCTGCCGCTCCGCAGCTCTTTGAAGCCTCTTTAATTCCAGCGTTAAGGATTAAGCCCAAGAAAAAGGGATGAGAAGTGAGACAACGACAGAAGGAGACATCCTTGGAGAGAACAGGCTCCTTTGAAATTTGTTAAGAATTTCCCTTGCACTGACCCACAATGCAGCATCTGAGGGAAATATGTGTGGCACTCTTTTTTTTTTCTTCTGATCGAGAGGTGGCTATAGCATTTGCATGCATAGGAAAAGGACTCTTTGAAGTCATAGGTGTAAGGGGAATTGGAGTTCTCTGAAACCTAAATGAGCGCACCGAGACATTGTCCTTGCATTGTGCATTACAGCCTGAGACGGTGTCTTTGTCTCAGCATGTTTTATTGGAAGACAAAGGAATCAAGTAAATGTCTGTCACAGAAGCTAGTCACATGATCCATCTTGTTGGATCCTGCTTGTTCGCTGCACATGAGGCACATTTGTAATTTGGATATATGGCTATATAAATACATTTGATTAACATTTTTTTATTAAGTCTCTATGTGAGGTCTGTATCATGTCCGAGCAAATTAATAGGATTACAGATTATACGTTTTTTGGCGGATGGCATACAATGAAAGTACATTCAGAGAGGAAGTCATGCTTCAATTACTGTCCATATTTACAATCACATCCTAATATTTAGACAGTATGTTCTTCCTTGTTGTGTTCAAAAACAGAAAAAAAAATTGATAGCATAAAGCAAACAGCTGCTGTTTGATTTCAGACATTTTGTAGATGCACAGGTTGAATTGTTATGTGACCGTTTATGAAGTAACAAAACACTGGATTTTCCTGCCAGGTGTTTCCACAAACAAAACAAAACCAATTGAAGGTCATGTGGCATGTTCGACTACATGAACCTGTCTATTCAAAACTGTTTAACCGTCAAGAGCCTATCACATAGCAGATTGTAATGATACAACACAGTCTGGATGGTAAAATGACTAAGAATTGATTCTAGTAATTCTGATTAAATCTGCATTTTTAGTTTTTACTTTCAAGAGACAGAACCAAGTTGGAAAAAGAATAATAATAAATAAATACATTAGGAGTGTGGTGGAAAGCAATAAATAGGATGTAGGTCACTGTTTGACCCCTCAACGTTTGCACCTGCGCATTTTAAATGTCAAAGAATGAGCAAATGATCTTACTTATTACAATCAGTGCATTCAAGCATTAACTTTATTGTGGCGGAAATAGTTGTTATATTTCTGTAAAGATCTATCTACATACAAGCTACTGTATAAAGCATTACATGTTGCCAGCCCTGCCCTAAATACAGCGTAAGTAAGGCTTTGTGAATCTCACTTGTACAAAGCACAAGGTGATTGCTCAGAGATTGCCTCACAGAGATTTTCATTTAAGTGTGTGATCATTTTTAAGGCCATTTTCTCTGCGTGTCACCGTTAACGTTTTTGCAATATCCCACGGCTCTTTGTCATTGCAGCTTCATTGTGTGTGTTTATGATGTCTTCATTTTGAGGCTGCAACATTTTGCAGGGCATGCATTTTTTCATAAAAGTGAGTTATTCTGGCGCCTGTTAAAGCTTACACATAATTGTAATTGTCGTTCAACTTAGCCAGCAGAACTGTCTTTGTGATTTAAGTTGTGTGACTCCAGAGGAACACTTCTTGTTCCAGTCATGTTTCTTTTAATGCGCAGGGAAACTCAAATAAAAAGCTTTTTTTGTCTGTTCCTCTTAGATGATTCTTGAAAAGATGCTGACTACCCCTCCCTCATAATTATATAATGCTCATTTTCAGGTTCATATTTATATTTTGTAATTCTACTGTGATGTGTTTTCTTGCTCTATGTTGAAAGAACGCTTTATTTTCTCACTTGGAGAATAATATTAATTCATTAATTATCATATTTCATTTTAAGTATTTAAAGCTATAAATTGGAAATCGCTCCATACATTTATACAGGGAAATTGGTTGCTGGTTTATAAGGACTGACGCAGTAAACGGGAAGGACAAATAAAATCATCAAATTGAATAGCCAGCACTTAAATACTAATGGAGGTTGCCAGTGAAATTAACAATTTCCCCTTGGGAGCATGTCTAATCAGTGGTCTCCCCACTTAGTCCAGTGAGGTAAGACAGGTTTACATAACAAAACACAGCTTTGGCAAGCTCCCCCCCCCCTGGAAGTTTCATCAGGGGTTTTCAGTTTGACAAATGTGCCTGTGGATTTGACTGGCAAGGTGTAATATGAGAGAGGATATTGATAAAGCTAAAACCAACATGCAAATAAAGACACACATTTGCTGTGTGGGAAATAGCTGGTAGGAAGCCACCTGCAGCTCCATATTTACCACAGCCTGGGCACACGGCAGAGAGTGATGACTGCACAGGCTCCTGCTGTTAGCGGTACATGATGCCGTCTGTATTTTCCTGGGATATTGTGTGATCATGTTTCCTGAGACAAAACAGTGTACTTCCTGAGAACATACTGTAGTGCTTGGAGGTGAAAAAAAAGAATAATGCAAATGAAGTTGGAACAGATCCAAGATTTTTAAATAGGGTTTTATTGTGTTATGGTTTGAGATCTAGCTCTCGGCTTAAAATCCTCCTTTACCCCCACGTGGAGCCGGTTTATTTTTCACCAGTGATCATTTATGATATTAAGTCAATTAAATACAGAATAATACATCCTTTTATAGAACTGGAGCAGGAAGACACACACAAACAGCTGCACTACACAATGGTAGCTTGAGGCATTGCTTGCTTCATGTTTGTGACTCAGGATAACAAAATGAATTGCAAATTGTTTTTTTTTCTGCCATGTATCGGTCTGAGATATCTGCAACCGAGATGAGATTTGTATTTTTGGTGCTTAAAGTATTCCAAAAGCATTTGAACATTTTATATGTCGAAGGAATTCAAGACTATCATAAACCATGCCAGTTGTTCTGGGTCATCCACCCACCTCGCTCATAGAAACTACATTTCCTTCCAAAAATATGGTCCAAAATTAAACACTTCACAGGGAAAGTCTTGGGTGGCTTCCAACATTTGAGAGACAGGTATCTAAAATCCTTGCCAAATAAAATCAATTATCTGCATGGCTAGATATGCTAAAGGGTCATTGAGAAAACAATCCGTTGTACAATTCAGCAAACCATCCTTTCTTTTGGATAATAAACACTTTCCCTTTCTTACTGATAGTTATATGAGAATAAAACCAGCTCTCTATGTATGGTAATATGTAGCCAGAGCTAGGAGATAGTTAGCTAAGTTAAAAAGTCCTTCAAATTAATATGTTCTGACTCGAGTTTGTCATGTGCAAAAGCTGTAAGTGTCCAACTGAAACCCTTTTGATTGGGCCATCTGGTTTATCCACACGACCATTAGTGTTAGACCATTAGATCATCGCATGCATGAGTGTATGTTAAGTGTTGCATGTTAACCACACATCTACTACTTTACTCTGCATTTGTGTTTGCTGATGGTTAATGTACATTTACGTGTGCTTTTAACTGCATTAATAATGAAAGACCTCTCTCATTTTATTCTCTCCAGAGATGGCCAGCTGGGTCTCCCTCCTCCTCTTCCTCTTCTGCCAGTCAGCCTCACGAGCCCAGGAGGAGAGCAGCAACATCCTGGAGTTCACCTCAGAGACCTCCATCAACAATGTGGTGCAAGACCCCGAGACCGGACGCATCTACCTGGGGGCGGTCAACACCATCTACCAGCTGGGGCCCTCGCTCCACAGGGAGGCTCGTGCAGAGACGGGCCCCAGAGAGGACGCGAGGACCTGCACGCCTCCTGCCTCGGCCTGCCAGGACACCAAGCTCATGCCCAACCTCAACAAGCTCCTCCTGGTCCACCCGTCCAACGGGACACTGATAGTGTGCGGCAGCCGCTACCGGGGCATCTGCTCCCTCCTCAACCTCACCAACGTGGAGCAGCAGCTGTACTACAGTGACAGCAAAGGAGAGAGGACTTACGTTGCTAGCATAGAGGACACGGTGAACGTGGTGGGCGTCATGTCCACCTACTCCAAAGAGGAGCTCTCCTTCAGTGTGTTCCTTGTTGGGAAGGGCTACGGAAGCCTGGACAGTACAAAACTCATCAGCACACGAATCCTGCAGGATTTCCGTGAATGGGTCGTGTTTGAGAGCATCATCGAGGCTTCTACGGTACAAACGACGCCATTTGTTCCCAAGTACTTGCACGACTTCCGCCTTGCCTTCAAAGCTGATGGTTTTGTTTATTTCCTCTTTTCGAGGACACTTGACGGTACGGATAATAAGAACTTGACCTTTGTGTCGCGTCTTTGCGAAAACGACCACCACTACTACTCCCACACGGAGCTTCAGTTAGACTGTGGCAAAGATAACCGATACAACAAAGTCCAAGCTGCGTACGTGGCATCCCCGGGCAAACAGCTGGCGCGGGTCATGACTGAATCAAATATGTACGGGAAGGTCGTCTCCTGGAGCAAAGTTCTGTTCGTGGTGGCGAGTCCAGATGACGACGACAACACCTCCGCTCTCTGCATGTACCCTCTCCACCGCATCAATGAGCGCCTGGTGGACATCATCAGCGCCTGCTACAGCGACTCGGGGAAAATCTCTGGGTATCCTGCTGTAGACATCCCCTACTCATCGAAAACTGATGAATTCTGCACATCAAAATTGCCGGTGAGTGTTTGTTTTTTGCGTCAGTCAATTAAGATTGAAAAAAAGTAGTTTTAAAAAGATAATAATGCATAGATATGCCACTGTTTACTTTAATGTCTCAATGTTTACCGCAGCCTTTTATTCATTGTTGTTTCCTGTCTCACACATCTTTCATGTCTCTTTTCCCAATTCCCTTAACTCATCCAAAATAATACCAAAAAGGCGGCAGTGGGAAAATAACTGTCATCTTTCAAAGTTGACATATAAATGTTTTTCACAAATCTATTATAGATAATGATGTAAACACAAAGGTAGGTTCTATAAACTTGACTTTGTGAAATCTAATATAATCCATGAGGCTGCTGCGATGTGAACAGTACTTTTAATAATACATAAATTAAGCAGGCCACTGTTCATTATGTGTGTATATCTCATTAATGAAGGTTCTTGTAGAGCAACACAGAACATACATTTGCATATATGAGTAATTTGTTGCTAAATTAGTATTAACATGAGCTCTAACTCTCTTATCCCAAACTTGCAAATTACAAAAATGACTGACTTCTGTTCTGCGTTTATTCTTATATTGATTAAAATAAGAGAACTGGCCCATTGGTGATGCTTTTTTTTCCCTTCCCTTTGATGAATAGCTTTTTCAATACCTAGACTTGTAAGGCCTTGGATTCGCTCTCATATTTCTTGGATTAAAGGATTCACAATGTGTCATCATCCTCTTGTTACCTTCCTATTTCTTTACAGAAAGACACGTTGGAACACAACAAATGTGGTGCAGATTTCCTGCCGTCCCCTCTGGCCAGCAAGCCGAGATCCGCCTTAAAGCCAGAACCGGTGTGGACCAAGTCTGGCCTTCTGACCGCTGTGGCCGTCGCTGTGGAGAATGATCACACCATCGCCTTCCTGGGGAACACCCAGGGGGAGGTCTTTAAGGTAGAGTTATCTCCTGATCTGCTGCTCTTCTCTGCTCCACTTCTTTTTCAGTCTTACCTGAGGGGAACAGGGGAAGGGAGAATATATTTTGTCACAGAAAAATGTGAATCCTGCCCCTCTGCTCACTGGCCAAATTGAAAATGTTTAAACACATTCGAGCACAGTAAATAAACGTCACACATTGTGTATTCTATTCTACTATCTTTTTATATATTTGTTTTTGTATTCGGGATCATATAAACAGAGGAAATAATTTGGACTGTAGGAAAGTCTGCTGGTGTTAACTTTCCTTTGTTTTCCAGGTTCACCTGACTGAGGAGACATACATGTACAGTAAGACTCCTAGCAACACGATTGGAGAGAAGGTCAACAAGAATCTTTTCTTTGACCGCAGTCAAAGCCACCTCTACATTACCACAGAGACAAAAGTGAGTATGTCGGGGCTCTTTGGTAACACGTACCAAATATATAACTCGTGTCTACACAGGGAGGCGTTCACTGCTTTCAGGTCACTTGCAATTTGGCAGCGTTCAGAGTCCAAGACACAATCACTGTAGTCATGTACGATGGAAAAAAATAGACTTCAATCCTAAAGAAAAAATCTTTAGGTCACAGTTTCATGCGTAAAAAGTTAAAAGTGACTCTTTTGATGAAATTGAAGCGTATATTTTCCATCACATGGCTTTAACACACAGAAGGGAGTATTATTCCCATACGGTCTGACTAGATTTTACAGATAGGAAGAGATCGATTTCCTTTAGTCAAGTTCATATAGGCTAGATGACTCGAGCTCTAATAGATCAAAGTTTAAGTGACTTGCTCAGTATGTCACAAGCAGAGTAACTGTCAATGACTGCTGTAAATTCATAAAGTGACTAATGGGTTTTTGCCAAATGGTAACAGGAACAATCAGTGGAGCCCAAAAAAAGTTATAGCTATAAAACTAAATGTAAGAATAATTAATTAGAATATAAACCTTGCATTAAAAACGACATAGGTATTATTAGCAGATGAGCACTTCACAATCAAGAATTGCAAATGCAACAAATATGCAGCAGATTAATGTTGTAGGTGGTTGAGCCTAAAAACTACGCACTGTTATGAATTGTTGGATACTTTAATCCGTAACACATTTGATCATGTTTTGAAAGATGATTGAACCACCTGTAACGTGATAATAAGACTACATTGCAAATAATTTCCCTTTCCATTCAGTCTATTGTTATTCTGATTCATAGTTGGGGAAAGAGAATAGATTATATTAAAGAAAAGTTTATATCCTCTGTACCCCTCTGTGCACCTGGCAAAACCGGCAATTTTTAAGCACTCAAGCACATGTAAAGTAAATGAAAGTCACACATTTTGTATTCATCCACCACTGGGTAGAATAAACATTAAGCATGTAGACTGAGGGGATTGTTTTAGTCATTTAGTACGGGGCACAGACATGAGAGACTGTGTGCTTTGACAGGACGTGTTTCACTCCCACTCTGCACACCTGCAACAAACCAAGCATAATGTCTAGCCCAACTTTAAATGCCTCGTATTTTTGTGCAGTGTCTCCCCTTAGGTGAACAGTTTGATCATATTTCATGTTGTTATGCTCCAGATCACCAAGGTGCCGGTGCAGACGTGCCTCCAAAAGACAGACTGCCAATCATGTGTGGAACTGAGGGACCCTTACTGTGGCTGGTGTGTCCTGGAGGGCAGGTGAGTTCCACACACACATGCACACATTCACACTTTTAAATGCATGCACACAGCAACAGACTACCACAAACGCCCACGCATGCAATTCCATCCGTAAAACACAGCGGGGTATTTGTTCTGTGTTTTATTGCAGACACTTTTAGTACCCCTTGGTGTTTATATTCCGTCTCCTGTTGTCCGTGCAGCCGTAAGGAATTAAAGCTGTTTGTCAGGCTCATGCAGCGAAGGCAGTCTGTGCCATTTACTCTCATCAGACTATATTTATCAGGTCTGCAGGGTAAAAGGGGCAGTATGGATCATGTATTTTTACAAGGAAGTGATGCGAAGGAGAAAATAAATAGCAGAAAAACAGTTTTTGTCTCTCTGGAAGTTGTTGATACACGTATTCAGAAACAATAAACACACTATATTACGTTTTGAAGGTGCAAATATTGACAGATGAATCCATTAGTCATATTCTCTGGAAATGCACAAACAAAACATTTGATGATTCCAGCTGAATGGGATATATCGGCTGCTTTTATGTAGTTATCTGAATATCTTTTGGTTTTGATGTTGTAAATCGGACAAAAAAAAACTTTTCATGAGAAGAACTGAAGCTTTGAAAATAATCCTTAGCTTTTCTCTCTTCAATTCTTGCAAAAACAATTTAATCAATATCATTTTCCACTGAGGCTAAATGATATTGTGTGCTCCTGTTTGTTGGCACATTATGAAGACATGTGTGTCTCTGATACAGTGTTTTCACTTTCTACTGCCAATTTGAATAGTGCGATTGATGATGACGAAAAAGCGCTGAAATCTGAAGATGTTATTAAATCACACTGCATATTGTCAAATGTAGAGATTTTTCAGGTCGGTTTAAAATAATCCTTATTGGTTAATTATTGAGTCTATAGAATGTAAAAAAGTTGACAAATACGCCACATTGTTACACTGCTATTTTATTACACAAAACATTATACCATACATTTCACACAGCAAGACCAAGTCCCACAGAGGCCATTTAGTGTTTTTCATATCTATATAAAACTTGATCTTGATAATCTGCACAGACCCTGGCATGAAGTTCTTATTAACAGAGAGGAAATACTTTTGTAGGCCTTGTAAAATGTTGAGTGGTTATGGAGCAGAGGCTGATGGGAGTTGTCCTTCCTCCCATGTGAAGGTGTACCAGGAGGTCTGAGTGCCGCCGGGCGGAGGAGAAGAATGGCTGGCTCTGGAGCCCAAGGCAACAATGTGTGAAGATCGTCTCCTTCTATCCCCCCAATCTCTCCTGTAGAAAGACTCAGAAGGTACGGTGCTGCTTCTATTCCCACTCTCTCTGTCTTTGTTCTCTGGCTCTCAAGCTCCGAAAAACAATCCCTCTTGCACGCACGTCACAAAAACATGCACAGCCTGAGTAATGAACAGTTTCCATCGTGAATCAGAGACCTTGGGCTCTAGGTCTTCCCGCGTCTGTATCGACCGTTCCAGAAAACTCCAAACTGGCTTATTATAACCGACCTGGCTGATTGTGCTCGCAGCCTGAAGATGGAGAGCCTCTCTTGTGCACCTTCTCTCTCAAGTTGGGTTTTTTATTCCAATTGTGAATACCTCTCTGTCACTCCCTCTCTGAATCACTTGTTATATATCCTCCAAGGCAATCAATCAATCTCCTGTCTTTAAAAGGAAAAATTGTTATTTCGCAGAGATGTTTGAATATACAAAGTGGAGAGACATACATTTCATTTAAGGTGATACTACTCGGGTATGAATCCTTTTGGAGAAAAACTAATTTTCAGCCATTTCCAAATCCTTACCATCTTAATTTGTATGCAGGTGAAGATCAGCATCCCATCTCTTCCTGCACTTGGGCTTTCTGACCGTCTGCGCTGCTCCTTCACGTCCTATGACAGTGAAGGCACCATGATTGACTCTGGTCAGGTCTCCTGCGATCTACCCAGCCCTGCGCTTATTCCACATACACCTGAGGACCAAGGTACGGCCTTCATAACCTGATCGCTTTTTAATACATCTTTTTTCATTGCAAATGTCTGTTGTTCTCACTTATAAGCAAGGTTGAATATCACCAATGTTGGAAAACTGCCCCAGGGTCCCAGACACCGAGGGGCCAACAAAATGTTTCATGGCCGTTTTTGTTTTGTAATTTAATTCTTTTTGATTTGTTAGGGAATTTGCACCACTAATGAGACAAGATCAACTTAATCGGGTCCAGCATTATTCGCTGATCTGGTGGCCAATTTTTTCGAGGTGCCTTCATTTCCAAAATCCAGTTTTAACAGCTTTGTTATTTGTGTTCACACTGTTTGTGAAACACATCCAGGAAACGTTGATCTTTCAGGTTGTAACTTAAACTGTTTTTAGCACTTCATCATTGTGAGCACGTTAGCAGACGTTAGGATTCGCTTCAAAGCACTGTGCATAAGTAGAGCTCTACTCAGCCACTAGCATTGCTGTAGACTCTAAGTCTCGTTGCATTAATACATAATTAGTATAAAAGCATTTGAGGTAATGCTCGGTCACAAATTATTTAAAAGTCATGTCTTGTGAGTCAGAATGTCTCGTCCTTGGGGTTGTTTTGTCTTATCATGAAAAGAGGAATATTCAGAATAATTCCCAATGACACCATCCCATTTCATAAATGTTTAAAACTATGTTCTAAAAACAGCACATTTTAACCTTTCCCTTGCTGTGTCATCAGATTTTGTGGCTGTCCCGGTCCGGATTTTCGTCAATGAGACAGTGGAGTTGGCTACACGAGATTTCAAGTTCTACAACTGTGCCGCCAGAGTGAGGAAATCTGAAAACACACCGTAAGTCAGACTCTTAATGTATCAGTTCTGCTCTGTCACTCACTGAAAATACACAGTGACACTAAACACAGCATCCGCCGACAACCTTGATGTAAATGTATCACCGTGCATGAACAGATGAGAGATCAAGGCTCTGTTTGTAAATTGTGATGCATGGTAATTTGGAATGCACTTCTTGCATTTTCTCTCCTCCTTTTCTCCAAGCCGAGGAAATTGCCTCAGTTTCCTTTTCATTAATCAAAAAATGAAAGTCGATCTCGCCATTTCTTTCCCCCCCCTCCTTATTTTTCTTTCTTCATTTCTTTCATGCCAAGGAATGTGTGATGAACGAGCTTTGCCTGTGTGAAGTTGCAGAGATCCATTTTGTTGTCAGCAACATGGATTTTTGTGCCGGACACTCTTTGATGAGTTTGCATGTTTTAAGATTTTGTTTGTGTGTGTGTGTGTGGCTGCTTATTATATTTGTGCAAAAAGCATGTTCGTATCTTTGGTGTTTATGTGCATATATTTCCGCGCGTGTTTTCAGGTGCATGTCATGTGTGGCGAGTTCCTGGGGCTGCCAGTGGAACACTAAGGACCACACCTGCAGCGATATGGACGACACCGCGGTCACTACCAACATCATAAAGCACCGTCAAGTGAGTCTTCTTAAGTGTTATCACATCATTGGCATGTCAAGGAGTTTTTTCTCTGAAATCATGCATTTGATAAATGCTGGAACAAGTCAAGCAGAAGTTGTTTTTCCTATCTAATCACCACATATGACAGAATGCTTGAACGATCCAAACTTCCCCCGAAAGTTAACAAAAAAACTAAAATCCTAATATCAGCTGGCACCATCTTGCGTGACAAATACTTTAGGGGTGAAGGATATCAATTTCTAAGTCAGCAGATGTTTCAGTGATACACTTATCTGTCCCTGCAGAGGCTGGCTGTTAAGTGTTTGGCATATTAAAAATGTAAATGATGGAAAGTGAGGGTAACAGATTTGTTTTGATGCCTTCGCAGGGAGCAAAGTGTCCTCAGTTTGAGAACCCAGACCCTGTGCTGATCCCAGTGGGCTACAGGACTCGAATCAGCTTTGAGGGGATCAATTTGGACCTCTACCAGGTAAAGTGGCACAGACACAGAATTTAAAGCATTTCTAGGAAACTAAGTGGCTCTTTTAAACACTTATTGAGTATGGCGTTTGGCCAACAGTGAACTGGATTGGTCACAATTTAACCAATGTATAAGGTGACAAGAAAGTCTTTGGTTAAAGGACAATTTTCAGCACACCTCACGGACCGTGTAATTCAGGATTCAGGACTATCACAAATACTGATCAATGAACAGAAAGGAGGTACGGTGTGTTCACAAAACCTATTGAATTCACAGGTAGATGCATACACCTATGTGTCACTGAATGTCAGTATTCAACTCTTTATGCAGCTGTATATACATACAGCTGGTTTGCATTTATGAACACATTATGAATAGCAGTTGCAAGAATAAATATAGGAGCCAGCCATTCTGCAGACAGAATATTTCTTTTCAAATAGGACATAAATCAATTCACCATGTTTCTAAACGTTTAATTGTGTGGTTCTCCAGGGTCATGTTTTCACGATTGGCACTGAGCTGATGAAAAATGTGGAAGAGGAGGTCAATTTTGAGGAAGGACCGTTCTACACCTTCAGCGGCTTCGATGTGAGTACAGCTGTTCTCTGGTTACTTGAAACTGACTTGTAGACCCTCGACCGTGTCCCTGTATCCACAATGAACTGATGATTTTGTTCCTTTCCCCGAAATTGTCTGACCAATTTGCTTTCCACTTACCACAGCTCCTTGAACTATAGCTGATTTGTGGATTGCAATACAGAGCAACCCTGATTCTGAGTGCTACTTGATTGCATATTTTTCAGATGCCAAAATATTTCCAAACTCTACACTATCTGACTTTATGTGGAAGGGTTATATATCAAATCAGCCTACAGCAGTCCACTTTGAATGTTCTCTAGCTCCCTCTAATGGACAGGCTCTCCGCTGTAATTTCAGCTCCTTCTCCACTCTCCATGCTGTGATGAGGAAGCTCAAACAGCACCTAGCCCTCAGCTATGTTCTTTCCCAACATTGATTTATTCCGCTGAAAATACGCCAGACTTGGTTTCATTTTTTTCCCTTCCATTCTTCTCTTTGGCATGAGGAAGCGGCAGCCCACACTGTTTGCTGAGAGGAGCTTAAGTGCCATTAATCACTGGATCGTTATTAATAATTCATTTTCTGCTAATTTCTTAGTTTTCTTACGACAAGTCACCAGAGACCAAAGTTCTCTTCTACATGAAGGACAAGGAGTCGGGGAAGAGGATGGACAGCACGCTGAACGGTACAATCGCTCACATTTGAATTCGTAGACCTTATTTTCTATGCCCTGTGTGTGCACAGAGCCAGTGTGGAGCCTCCATTAGACCTGGGGGGGCTGCCTTTAATCTTTAATTGAATATTTATCAGAAAATGACGCAGTAATGACTGTATCACCCACAGGTTTTTACAGAATATTAAGGATCAAGGGTCATTGTGAGGTTTTACATTTTCGTTATGTAAATTAAGTCATTAGAAGACACACTATTCATTAATGAATAATAATAATGTTTTTTTTATTTATACAGCCCCTTTCAACCAGTTACAAATTGATTTTACATAAATACAGAACACATTTAACTGAACTGTTAAATCAGCAGCTAAACACATTATAAAACACAGAGGAACAGAAAATAGTAAAACATAAATAATAGCAATCCCTCACCCCCTCAGGTTATTCCAAAGTCCAGTTGCCGTGACTGCAAAAGCTCTTTTCCCCGTTGGGTTTGGATCTGGACCTTAGAATGAACAGGAAACATTTTGGGACTTTTTAAGTATAACAAAACAAGTAAACTAAAGCATTTGATATTTGTGTTTCCCCCTTACAGTCACCCTGTACAACTGCTCCATGGGGCGAGAGGACTGTAGTCTGTGTAAGAACGCAGACCCAAAGTACCAGTGTGTGTGGTGCGCCAAGCAGAGGGCGTGTGTGTACGAGAAGCTGTGCAACCCCGAGGACCCTCTCAGCACCGAGTGCCCCGACCCCCAGATAACTGACGTGAGTTCTTACAATGCCCTCATCTCTTTATGTTGATATTTGAACTGGTAGCATTACATGCCTGAAAGGCTTGTGGCGTAACAGTGTAAAAGCAGCGACTCTCTGTGATTGGATTATTGATCGCAGCACTTTATTGGCCTCTCCACGTTCTCCTAGTGCACGGAGGGGTTGAAAGTCTTCTTCTCCTGAGGTCGTGTTGAGCTGATTTGCAGCACATTTAGATTGGATCAATTCCTTCTCTGCTCACCTAATTGTTTGTGCCTCATTGTCATTGACAAAAATCCATCAGTAATTGTGCTGATGTCAATGTGACAGAGGTTATGAGCGATACATACAACAGCCTGACAGACACATCCGCCAGATCAATCGCAGTCGGTGTGTGTGCGCTGGCAAGATGTTGCATGCATTTTTATGAATATGATCAGTTAGGTTGTTAGTGACTGAAATATCTAAACAACTGTTAGATAGATTCCTATGCAATTTTCACTCTGGGAAGCTGCTAGCATGGCTGTAGACACTTTTCTATTCTACATTTGATAACTTCACATTTAGTTTTTATTTGAAGGGAATAGTTAACATGATTTAGATTTCAATATTGTACAATGTTTACTTTTATGTTTGCCATTTCTAACATCTAGCTGTAAATTATTATACTTCTACATGAAATCCCATATATCGGGGTCATTTTTTTGTTCTTATTGAGGGCTAGTTGGGCTGTAATACACACGTACATGCAAACGTGACTCTTACATAAAGCATGGTGGTGAATATTAAACACTGAAACTATTCAGCTGACTGAAACAGACTATGTAAATCTCTTGTACATTTCTTATTGCACAACTAATCTGTTTAAATCCATTTCAAATCCCTTCTTCCTACAAACACGCACACCCACTCCCCGCCACCATTGCTTCTCCCCCATCCAGATCATCCCTCGTTACGGCCCCATGCGGGGAGGAATCTCCATCACCATCCGCGGCACCAACCTCGGCATTCACAAGGAAGACATTAAAAGCATCAGTGTGGTCGGGCAGCCCTGCATCCACCAGGAGGAGAAGTACTCTGTCTCCACCAGGTACAACTCACACACTCTGATTCATTTATGCAAATATATGAGCAGCACACACACTGTCTCTATTGATCGCTGTTTGTCAAACTGTGTCTGGGCAGGGTTTCAAAAAAAGTATTTTGGTTGACTTCTGAATACCTTATCATCCTAGGCGAGCTTTGCTTTTCCCCAAAGTAACCATGGTGCATGTTTTAATTAGCTCATTATGCTACATTATTAATCTGAGTACCAGGGGTGAAAGAGGTTTTCTGATCCCTTTTTGTGAGTAAAACCACACATAGTTAATTACAAGTAGCATTTCTGCATCCAGAATCCTATTTCGTACAGATGTATTATCTGCAAAACATACAAAAAATGTCAAAAGTGTAATACTAGTTGTGCAGGATAACAGCCCTGTCACTGATATATTACTATATACACCATTATAAGATTGCATCAGTGTGTAAATATTATTTTTCTGCTGTAGTCGGTCAGGGTGGAGCCGATTTAAACTATATACACAGTTTGGGGTTTTGAAATGATTAATGTGGTAGAAAAGAATAAAGAAACTAAGCTCTGCTACACACTTACAGTATGTTTGCTTTTAATGTAAAACTAACTGAGAGGTTTAAATGAAAAGTGTGGAACTTTCTAAAAACACCCAGACACTTGAAACATAATAAGAAACTAGTACTAAAAAATTGTACTTCATATTGTACAAACTACTGTACTCAAGTTAATGTTCTACCTGTTCTGAAGTCCTTACACTGGCTTCCTGTGTGTCAAAGAATAGATTTCAAAATACTGCTGCTGGTTTATAAAGCTTTGAATGGTTTAGGCCCAAAATACATTTCTGATCTCCTGCTAAATGATGAACCATCCAGAACTCTCAGGTCTTCAGGGACTGGTCAGCTTTCTGTCCCCAGAGTCAGAACTAAACATGGTAAAGCAGCGTTCAGTTATTATGCTCCAAATATCTGGAACAAACTCCCAGAAACCTGCAGGTCCGCTGCAACTCTGACTATTTTTAAATCCAGGCTGAAGACTTTTCTTTTTGCCGCTGCTTTTAATTGAACTATTCACATCTTAAACTGCACTGTAACTTTTATCCATGTATTTTTTCTTTTAATGTTTATTTTATTATCTTTTCTTTTTAATGACTGATTTTAAATGCCATTTTCTTAATGTCTTCCATTTTTGTAAAGCACTTTGAATTGCCTTGTGTTGAAAGGTGCTATATAAATAAACTTGCCTTGCCTTGCCTTACCACTGCTGGGTCTCTGCTGAAATGTGATCTTTAGAACTGCCTGCGGCCACAAATGGGAACTGCAGCCTGGATCATTTGAGTTATAAATTCACCAAACATGCTATCACACATTTGCCACAGCTTTTTGGTGGTCTCTCCATGCTGCCGACAGTCCCTTCCCACCAAGAAAAAAACCTAACTCCTGCAAATACACTTCAGTCACAGCGGTGTTCACTTCATTCAAGTAGTCCATGAAAAGTAAAAAAATCCACATTGTAGCCCCACAGCCACTAAGCAGAGCTGTTGACACCTGGCAGGATCCACTTTTATGACAAATTCTTGCCCCACCATCTGCATGATGAGGCATAAAGCAGGATTTATGGGACCAGATGGAATGTTTTTCTCCCTTAAATCATCCACTTCTGGAGCTCACAGCCCTGCTGAGTCTTCATCGAGTTGTTAGCTGTCCTCTACGGTCTGCAGCATGTTGTTTCTCACTTGCTCTGAGATTTGACAGCTTTTCAACTGTGATATTTCATTTCTACCCTGTCTTCTCCTGGCTCCCATGTTAGCCCAAATAAGGATTGCCATTTTATGCTGACCTCTTTCATCAGCAACACATTCTCCTCAAGGACATGTTGTGTTTTGTATATGCCATGTTTCCATGTAAACTCCGGACAATGCACTGTGCTAAAATTCCCAAAGGGCTCAATTTCTACGACGCTTGTAGCAGCCAATCTGGCATTTAAAATCATACTGCGTTTTATATGTGCTAAATAGTCAGATGAACTAGCTTTTATTTAATTACCTTAGCTTTTTTCACCAATTAACTAAAGCAAGACGCAGTATTCAATGTCTGCCAATATCTGTAATATTCATATCTAGCTCATTTGAATGAAAACATTTTGATGCAGATTGCATGAGGCCATTTTTTCAATGGAGCAGCTCCAAGATGAAAATAAAACTGTGAAGTCTGGAATAAACAAAAACTTAAAATGTAATGAACAATATGTATAATCTCCCCTTGAGTCTCCAGGACATTTTCTTTCCTATTTTCAATATTTTACAGAAAAAAAGATAGAAAATGATTGGTATATTAACGGATATTTAAATGATTGTTAGTTTCAGCTCCATTCTTGTATATTTTTCTCATTCTTTTCTTCATTGTCATGCGCAGCGTGGTGTGTGAGATCGGCCCTGTTGATCCTACGAAAACCTGGGGCCAGGTCGAGGTGGAAGTGAAGGGGGGAAAGACAGGAACCTCCTCCATGTACTTCACCTACAGGGTAAATACTCTCCCTTACACGCACGCACGCACGCACACACACACACACACACAATCTTCCGTTCTCCTCAGCTGCTGCTTAGTATGGAGGCATATAACTTCAGACTCAGAAAATAAACTCATCCAAAAGCTTTCATCTGATTTGGTTATTCGTTAGTCTCTGGTATTTTTACATTTCCTCACTGCAGAGAGACCCCTAACCGAACAAATCAAGGTTATGCCACTCATGTGGAATTGTCAAATACAAGTCCCTAATGTATCTGTACATGTAGAGCCTAGATGCTGTCACATTACAGATTGTGTATGCATTCCTCTTTAACCAGATGCTGTGCAGTACGCCCCCTTCCTCTCAAATAGCTACGCGGTAGCCTGTTATAGTATTAAACTGGCTTTTCATATCTCCGGCTCCGCTAAAGCTTCCCCACTGGGGAGTGCTCCGCCTAACTGTTTGCTCAGCAAATTGAGGCAGATGTGGTGCTTGTCTGAGTGTGTGTGTGTGAATGTTTCTAATAGAGAATATGAGAACAGGCAGGCTGAGAGGAGATGTGTGTAAATGATCAGCATTGTGTGAGCGATCATGTGGGGTTGGAGCTTCTGTATTCATGCTGTATCTTGTGCCCCCTTCACCCCCTCTCCCCCCTCACCAGGACCCGATTCCCGAAGGGGTGACACCCACCAGAGGTCTGAAAGCTGGGGGCACCCTCATTACAATATCTGGTCACTCTCTGGAAACAGGCAGTAAGGATGATGTCCAGGTTACCATCGGAGGGGTGGACTGCACTGTGTAAGCACTTTCTTCCCTCAATAATTGTCATTCCCTGCCAAAGCTTTCAATTCTCTTTCAATTCAGTCTTATCATATGATAAGTGCTACTTGTTATTCAGACATTGTATTCTATGCACATACTACAGTATGAACACTTTGAAGCCAATAAATTGATTTTTTTTCATATTCCTGAAGCAAAAAATGGAATTGACCTTAACTCTAGTGTTCTCAGCAGGATTCTTTTTTTCTTACCGATTGCCTGGCTGTTGTGACCACCATTGTTCTGTCAAACCCAGTCCGTGGTGACATTTTAGGCAGAGGTAACGGGAAAATAACGAGCTAGAGGAGCAGCAAAGCCAAGATTTAACAAGCTGTCAGGTTGCTGCCATGCTGGCTTCGACTACACAGTGACCTCGTGCGACCCCCACTCCACAAGCCAGTTAGTGTTATGTCCTTGTCTTTGCAGGGAGCACTTTGGAGAAGAAATCACCTGCAGGACAGGAGAATATCGAACAGATAAGGTGCCCTCCTTATTTCTCTCCGTCACAGTGAAGTATGGAAAGAGTACCACAACATCCATCCCAAGTGTCTTCCAATTCTTGGAAAATCCCCAATTGATGGACCATCAACCCAAAACAAGCTTTGTCTGGTGAGTATAAGTGGCAGCATGTTTTCTTTCATTTCACCTGAAAACTTATAATGTTGAATGAAAAATGATTTTGAGGCTTTTCATGTTTTTGTCCATGTCCTGTCACATTTTACTTTTCTAGAGATTTGAGAACTTAGCCATCTCTATAGGGATTCTTTTTTTTGGTACCTTCAGAAGGACTTAAACACAAATGTTTAAAATGTGAGATCTAATGTTTAGCTGCGAAGGATCCGTTCATTTAAATTAAACTGAAAGATTTTGTACGATGTATTGCCATGTTATTTAATGATTCAATCCCATTTACTATGGTTATGTCTTGAGTTTTATGTTATGCCACTTCAAGGTTCTTATTTGACAGTTTTTAAATAAACATCTTAAATGTGATTAGTTCAATTGTCAGGGAAATTGGTCCAGAAATTGATGTCCACCCAAGGATGAATTGTTTTTAATTTGGTGATTCTCTGACTTTTTATCTTGCACCGATATCAGATAAAAATAGAAATGTGTCCAATACGTTGCTTAATTACAAATTACCCACACAACGAATGCCACTCTAACTTCTGATTGTAACTAGGATACACATAGTACCTGTTCAATATCAGCATGTTAGCGATGTTATTGTGACCATTAGCATACTGACGCTGAGCATCATCAGCATGGCTGTTGGGTTCCTTGTTTGGAAAGCTGTTGGAGGCTCACTCTCCCTCTCCTTATTAAAGTCATTCATTTCTGCATTTTCTAAATCTAATGAACTGACATAGTGAAGAGAATTCAAGTTTGAGTAAAACTCGAAGTCTGTCAAATACAGAATAATGCAGAAGATGAATTTCCCTTTCAAATAGCTTGCATTGTACATTTGTTTTATAAGAAGAGTGGGCACAATGAAAAGAAAAAGCAGCTTTGTTGACAAGGGCTTATAGAGACATACTGTTATAGAAAATTGCACACTTAGAAACCTGCGTTGTTCTTTACACTCCAAGCTTCTATCTGTCTGAAACCTTGGTAAAGGTTATTAATACCAACACCCTTTTACTTGTTTTAAAGTATGATTTGTCCTCCGAGAGTTGCTGAGTAGGCCTGTTGTTTGTGTTTGTGCGCAGAACATTTTTCCATACTTACTTATTGTTTGCTGTGGGCGATGCTAGTCTTTGATGTTGTACAAACTGCCTTATGCAGAAAATGGATGCATTAGGCACATACCTTTTTTTTTCTTCTGTGCAATAGAAAGCTCTAAGGCGCATGTGATTAGGCACGCAGACTAAAACAACAGACAACAGATACACTGCTCGCAGGCTAAACTAATTTGTTTCCATCTCCGGTGAAAATTACCCCAGGTGCAATTTAAGAAGTGTGTCTGTCTTCCCGTAACGCTCCCAATGAACTTGCCTTTGTGTGGCTGGGTTATCTGTAATCATCTGTGTGTTTTATGTGTCTGTGTGTGTTTTTAGTGGAGGGAGGAACATTGTGGTGACCGGCTCAGGCTTTGACCTTGTCCAGACTGCTGTTCTGAAGGTCCAAGGAGACAACTCGCAAGCCTTTGAGGTATGTCTTTCATTTGTTTTCTTATATCCTTTTATTTATACCCATTTTCCTCGCCATCTTCCCATCAGCCTTTTGATCATCCTCCTCGTAATAGTCATCATTTCTTTTCTCGCTTCACTCTTTCTCTTATCTGTCTTTCCTACGCTTCTGTTTGCTTCAATTTTTTTTTAGAGTTTCTACATTTCCTTCTGTTTGTCCCTCATTCCAGCGGCACCGTCCATTGATCTCCTCACAACTCATGAGCCCACACCACAGTTGTGATTCATTCAAACACTCTCAAGCATGCTCACACACCAACAAATTCACTCATCTCCACTTCCCATGCTCTCCCTGATCAGTGGGAGTCCATAAGCCAGTCTTACTTCATCTCACTTCTTAGGCCATAAATCCTTAAAACCTGTAAGATTGCAGATAGCGGCAGCACTGTTTTACCCTCACTGAGATATAACTATGTTCCTCATCCAACTTAATCATGTAGGATTGATTCTACCAGGGAACTTGAAGCAGTTGCCGCATTGTGCTGCTTCCTGCCCTTCAGTGGACTGAGCAGTGTGGGGCATTAGCAATGTGTTCTTTTAATTTATAAAGCCAGCATTAAGGTTGCAGGAGATTATGTGAACACGCCGCTCTTCACCACTTCACTCCTGGCCTCGTCCCTGGTCCCCTGCCATCCTGCGGGACAGGAGATTTAAAGGGACTCCTGGCTGCAGGATGTATGGGTGTTATCTGAAAGGCCTTGGCTGGTCAACTTCATAAGCTTCTCTTGGTTTAAGTCTTATCCACTGAACTAGACCCAAATCTTTTTGGCTGCTGGCTTGTGGTGAAAACATGTTGATGACATTGTGGGTCAGGTTAGAGGCTTAAAGTGGTGAGGTTTTTTTTCTTCTGTAAAGACCCTCCAACTCTTTTTTATAATTGTAAACCCCAGCTGCTTCTAAGGTCAAAAGAAGCCTAGTTTTAATATAAATAAGTAGTAGATGTTGATTTACATAGTAAAGTATTTTGCCTCCTGGCTTTTGGTTGAGCACAATGTTCAGATTTGGTTGTTGTTGTAATAACTCAAAGTTTTCCTTTGTGAATGTGTTAATACTTTGGTTGACAGTATAGTGGTCCACCAGCATTTTGTTACCTTCTTCTCTTTGTGCTAAACTAACCAGCTGCTGGCTCTAACTTCATATTTAACGGTCAAATATGAGAGTGGTGTAAATCTTCTCCATTCTCCATTTCCCAAAATTGTAAACCATTCCTTTTAACAAAGAGCAATGAACTGTATAGTCCGAATGAGACTAAAATCTGCACTTAGCTCACAGCTTAAAGGAAGACAAATTCACTTTTGAGCTGTATATGAAAAGACATTAAATGAATACAACCAGTCTCATACTTTATAGTAGCCTCGTCATTTTGACATACTGGAATTGTGTGTAGGACTGCAGGGTTTAGCTGTCACGCAGTATTGTCAGCCCTGCATCGAAACAATCAGAGACTGACAGAAATATCACCATCCGTCCAGTTAATCAAAACCAAATAAACAAAGCCTTGGGAGGAATGACTCAGAGTTGTGATTAATCAGAGGCTGCTTTTCCACGACGGCAGAATGGGTTTTTAATAGAATGACTGAAAAGAGACACATCATTGTACTTTCCTTACCAGGATTGTTTTCGCCGTCTTCCCACCCCCGAAACACTCACAAAAAACATGAATTCAATGCTTCTTAATTAATAAAAAATCCCTCAACATCCTGTTTGAGTACCCTTCTTCATGCCGTCTTGTGTTGCTTATTATGTTTGAACAAATAATCCTATATTGTCCAGTTCTGATATTTGACTCTCCCTACGTTACATTTAGGTCGCCCACGAGAAGAACGACACGGTCATCCAGTTTCGGTCTCCAACAGTAAACAGCTCCCTGAACCAGCCCTTTAAAACCATCATCAAGCTGGACAACATGGAGAAGGAGCTGAAGCCCTTCGACTACTACCCGGACCCCAGCTTCAACGAACTGAAGAGGGTCATCACTGAGGCCAGCATCATCATCGTCACTGTGAGTGCAGGGTGCTCACTTCCCCTTTTAATGTTGCAGTGACAGCACAGTGTTTCTGAGAATCAGCGTCCTGTGTTATGAAATAAGGACAAATTGTGTTATTTTCTGACTTAAGGGAAAACAGTCAAAGATGCTGAATTGCAGTGGCTGCAACACATTTACAATCTTTAGCTGCTTCTGTTATGGATGGACTCCTTTGCATACAAAAATTATGCAAACGGCAACACATTTAATATTTCAGCTCAGGGGTGGGATTGTTTTGAAAAGTCAAATGAACTGAGGCATAAGTATTCTAGTAGCATTAATGTATTCTGACTTTTAAGAACAGATAACACCATTTTTTAATCTTGTAAGATACTTAATGTAAACATCAATTTATATTATAGTTTATTTCTGAGTGGGCATAGTCTCTGGAAGGATCATTCTCACTGCAATAGCGTTGCAACCGGGCAATTAGTCACAAGTTATACGTTTCATTAGGCATTTCATCTATAAAACAAAACAGAAATGCGGATAAATGTTCATTTCTATAACCAACTCCAAGGCGATTTCTTCAAATTGCTGTTTTTCTCTGGTTAAGAACGTTGCTGTTACCATTACAGTTGAGCCTTTTTGCTTCAAAAATGACCTCAACAATTATAAGTTAATGATAAAGGTCCAGCAACAGCAGTGAATTTCTGTTTCTACTTCTTCTTCATGTCAGTTTCAAAGTGCCATAGTTATCCCTTTGAGGTTTCCTTGTACAGGCGCCCTTAAGGTAAATGAGTCAAAAAGACATCTGAAAAAAAAAAAAAAAAAATCCCTTTCAATTACTCTAACGCTTGCTTCCTTAAGCGAATTCACCTTCCTTGTACAGCAGGCTGCATTAGAATAATTGAAAGCATGTCTGTAGATACAGATGCGTGCTGCAGAATCTCAAAGTGTTTATTGCAATGCCAGAACTGTAGGATTGACTGGAGCTGTGCCAACAGTGTCTTAACCAATAAATCATTTAGAAATGTGCTTACAAAGAAAATAATCTTAATCTTTCTAATTACTTTTGGCACTCGTAGTGGAACAGCAATGAGCCGTTATAAACTTCCCATTCAATACTAATGAAAATGCTTTTAATACTCATCATTCTTGATGGTGTCAAATGTGGTAATTCATTTCTCCCCCATAAAGTTAAGTCACGACACTTTTAGCATTCCAGTCTGTCTTTTTCCTTCAGGGTTGGGGATTCTCCAAAGCTATGACGGCCAAAGAGGCTCAAGCTTTTGTGGGAGACGTTCCCTGCGTGGTGAACACGCTTCAGGATGACAAACTGTTCCTGGACCCGCCCTCCACCACGCCCAGCGCCCGCTCCAGACGGCACCGCAGAGACACCCGGCCCGAGCTGCTCGACCTAACAGTCAGTTCAAATAAAGATCCTTTACTTTAGGCCAATTACCGATACCCCAATGAAAAGTACTCCATTAAAAGCATGTAACTATAATCAGGAAAATGTAAACATGTAAATTAAGCAGAAATACCTAATGAGTCTTATATATTACTATATATTAGGCAGTATCATTAGAATATTATTACTAATGTTAAAAGTGTATATAGGACTGCAACTAATGATTAATTTAAGTGTATTAGTCTTGATTTATTATTCTCCCTAAATTGATTGCATGAGCCCAAAATGATATCAAATGTGTTATGTTCAACCAATAGTCCAAATCTTAAAATTATTAGACGTATATTCAATTATTAAGAGTAAAAGCAGCACATTTGCACATTTTAGGAGCTGGAAACATCACAAAATGACTCAAATGATTATGAAAGTAGTTACCATTTAACTAATCTTTCCATCTCCTTTTGTTTATACTGTTGGATAGCTTAATCTAAATCCAAAGATCCCCATTTTGTAAAGTAATTACGAAGTAAAAATGTAGAATAAAATCATACGTTTTTCCCTTGAAAATGTAGTTAAATAGAAGTATAATGTAGAAAGAAAAGAAGTACTAAAATAAAATTAATTTGTGCTTGAGTAAATGTACTTTCACAGACAGGTGAAACACTGCAGGCATCATGAATCTTTACTGTACTTTTCTAGGCGTGTCCTCTGTATATCTGGGGATCCCATTGTTTCCACTGGTTGAACAGTTTTCAGTGTAGCTACAGGCCCTTTTTATAATTACATGTAATTATAGCCGAGCCACAATTGGGATGAATACTGTAACCTCTCCTCTGGGTAATATCTGGAGAGCTATTGTCTCATTCCTGTGTCTGCGCGCTGCAGAAAGAAGCACCGCCTCGGACTATCAATAAAATACCTATATAGAAAAAGGTTGATTATTACGTGTCAAACTCAACGCACTTATGCATTGGCTCAGTTATTATGGACCCACGACCACATAGCCCAAGCACTTAAAAAATACTGAAAGGTCCTGCAGAACCGTGGGCAATTATGTAGATTTTCCTCCGTCCAAGTTTTCGCTCCATCTCCGGAGAATCTTTGCCATCGACACCTACCTGAATACATCTCTGGCTAAAATATTGTGCAGATAATAAGATTCCTTCTCTCTTTCTTTCTGTCTTTATCCACAGATCAAGTTTGGGAAAGGGGAGTGGGTGGTAGGCTCGGTGGAGTATGAGAAGAAGAATGATTTGAAACTGTACATCATCATCCCCGCTGTCATTGTGCCCATGCTGCTCATCATCGCTATCTCTGTCTACTGCTACAGGTAATTAGGCTTTTTAAGGTTAACGTCACATTCACTGTTTCTCAAATGAGGTCATCTAACTAATTAATATCTCATTAGTAGAGGAGATTTGGAGAAACGTTTATTATCTGAGCTTCTTGACCATACAGTTAAATAAGGCCTTTTAAAACATTTGATTGATTTTCTTATGAAAACATTTTAGATTGCATGAGAGGTTATTTTTATTCATTTGATCATAGCATTTAATGAGTATTTGAGACCCAACACACAAGTAATGTTTCATTTTCCATGGTGGGCTTATGAAACATTTTATTAGTTTGAAAACAATGTTAAGAAGCAAATAGCTTAAAATAATAAAAGTTGTCAAATATGAATCCGATAAATCTTTATTTTAAACGTCTCTGTTACATTTTCGTGGTTAGAAAGGTCCCTTCATCTCCAGTACCACTAAACAAATATTCAGAATAAAGAATATATCAATGAAACACTTTCCCACAGACAAGTAATTAAAAACAACATACTTGAGATACAGAAACATTTTGTCTTTCCTATTATTTTAATAATATTTTGAGCCCTCAGATTTATTTTTGGAACTTCTGTATTTTCTAAAATCGTACATATTGTTAGGTCGTTTTTGTAAAGTTTTATAGTCGATTTCAACAGTTCTGTCAATTTACCTAGAGGTCCTTCCAAAAAAGGGAATTTGTTTGCACGAGGATCATTTTGTCGCAGGCTGTCATGCATCAATTAAACATGCTGACTTCCTGCTGAATTTTCATAAAACATCACGAACAACAAATCCACTGTGACGGAGTAATTCCAGTGCTAATGGGATATTTTCGGGAAACTCAAGAGGAAACACTGTGGCCAATTGTGCCGGCTCAAACTAGGGTCTTTGAACAACAATTAGACCTCCAAAATTACAAAACAAAGTTAAAATCCTTCTCTTTCACAAACTTTGTTTTGATGACACACGTGTTGCTTGTTAAATGTGTTCAGGAGAAAGAGTCAACAGGCAGAGAGGGAGTACGAGAAGGTGAAACATCAGCTGGAGAATTTGGAGGAGAGCGTACGGGACCGATGCAAGAAAGAATTCACAGGTACCAACCAAGTGCAGCTGTGCAAAAGCTTGGCAATTTCACTAATGTCCCTCAAAGGATCGATGTTTCTAAGAAGCTATAAAGTAATGAAGTGTTTCATTGCTCTGATTACATTTCTTTGATGTATTGTCCTGCTGTGAATTAAATAAATTCTCCTGCTTAACATCGTGTTATCATCATTACGAGAAGCAGTTTTGCAGCAACAGTAATAGAAAACAGTTTTTCATCGTTGCAATAATTTTCCCCAAGAAAGTTCCCTTGTCTGCTTCTCGCACAATAATGATAGAGGCGAGCAGCACGCAAATGAGAAAGCTGTTTATTAGAAAAGGGAATGAGAAAGTGTCGTCTTGTTTTCATCCTGCAGACTTGATGATTGAGATGGAGGACCACACCAACGATCAGAGTGAGGGACGAATCCCCTTCCTGGACTACAAAACCTACACCGACCGCGTCTTCTTCCTGCCTTCGAAGGACGGAGCCAATGATGTGATGATCACAGGAAAGCTCAACATCCCCGAGGACCGACGGGCCATCGTGACTCAGGCGCTCAACCAGTTCTCCAACCTCCTGAACTCAAAAACGTTCCTCCTTAATGTAATTATACTGCACATGCATGACACTTTGAATGGTCGGCTGTAGTCTCACATTGATAATATCTGCATACACATGGTTTACAGAAAAGATGTCCAACACAACAAGTTCCTCAAGCAAATAATGCCTGACTCTTTTAAAACACATTCAGTTGTTTACTCTTTCTTCTCAGCCAGGCTTAGAGAAGGGCTCTAGGGATGTTGTTCAGTCCAATAGTCCAGACTGAAATATTTCACCAACTATTGACTGTATTGCCTTCAAATAATATATTGACACACTTGTTTCTCAGTCGATGTATCCTAATAACTTTTGTGATCCACTAACTTTACCTGTAGCGCCTTAATCAGCTCAAAAAGTTTGTTCAGTACTTTTTGTTATGATCTTATACCAGCTAAACTTTATGTTTTGTGTTAATTAGTCCCTGCTAGCATGCTAACACCTTGCTAATTGGGGTCCAAATGCACATTACCTGCTGATGTAACCATTGTAATTGTAACTTTGGCATTAAGATCAAAGCATGGCGGGCCAGTAGCAAATGCCTCATAGCTAGCAGTTAGCAGCTAGCATGGCCATCTTGTTTTTTTTTAATCTGTTTAAATGGTACAAACATTTAGACATTATAGCATGCAATATACAAAAACTGCTGGTAAAAACTGACAAGATATCATTTGTTTGTATTCAAACCAACTCCTATAAGCTCATCAAATGTGTAAAGTAGCATAAAGATGTGAACCACGTCCCTGAGCATCTGCAGTGACATCTCTCTAATTTCAACACAGTCTCACGGCATTTCGTGTTATAGTCACGAAATGAATCTATTGATTCGTGTTCACCAACACGATTTTTGCATTTTTTTCGTGTCACACAGAACGATTTTAAAAGCAATGTAAATAATAACAAATTTGAAGGAAAAAGAGATACAAAAAAATACAGATGTCAGTATTCTGAGGCTCTGAGCCCCATTTATTTTCCTCGTGGACGGCAAAAAAACTCTGACATTATACAATTTAAAATAAAAGGGTTAGGCTTAGGGTAAGATATTGAGTAAGAAAATGTTTTTATGAACCACACAGCTTCTGGTCTTCCAAGACCCGACCGGACAAAAAGACGTGGTGCAGGCACGAAACACACTACCAATAGAAATACATTGCTTTTAAAATCGTTCTGTGTGACACGAAAAAAATTAGAAAATCGTGTTGGTGAACACGAATCAATAGATTAAATTAATTTCATGACTATAACACGAAATGCCGTGAGACTGGGTTGCTAATTTAGAGCTGCCCTTGTTCATCATGATGAAAGAGTATGCAACAATATGGCTCTTTTATGTGTTTAAATAGCGGTGCGACCCATCTAAATGCAGGCTCTCTCCCTTTGATTCAAGGACTTTGTGATGTTTTAGTTAGCGGAGTTCAGTGTTGAGAGCGAGAAACAGAAGAAATGGCAGAAAAAAAGACATGTGTGAAGATTACTAATGGTCCAATATTGCTGGCGCAGAAACGGCCTCTGAGGTGTTAGCTGAATGTGTGGGTGATTCGTCTCCCACTAATTGGTATCTTGCGTTAGCTAAGAGGCAGAAAGGAATTTACCTCGATAGCTATTGTTTTCACAGGCATTAGTCTTTTGGTAATTCAAAAGCATATTGTGTTTGATTTACTTATGTGTGTGGGCTTCATCAAGATCATTAATTGAGCCCATCTCCTGCCTGTTTCTTTTTGTGTGTGTTTGTGTGTTTGTAGTTTATCCGTACATTGGAGCACAGTAATGACTTCAACGCCAGGGCGAAGGTGTACTTTGCCTCTCTGCTGACGGTGGCCCTGCATGGGAAACTGGAATACTACACTGACATTATGAGGACGCTGCTGCTGGAGCTCATGGAGGAATACGTCCACAGCAAGAACCCTAAACTCATGCTGCGCAGGTGAGAGTTGACACACTCATGCAGTAACATACAATAACAAAGTTCCATTGCCAAGTTTAAAGGTGGGGTAGGTAAGTTTGAGAAACCGGCTCGAGATACACTTTTTGTTATATTCCATGGAATGCTCCTAATATCCCGATAGCAATGAATATCTTAAGTGCTTTGACAAAAAATCCATTAAAAAATGTCATCTGTGGAAGCCGTAATACTGTAAAAAGCACGACCAATCATTTTAGCCGGCCCGGCTAAAATAGCTGGATGGCCTACCTGCCTGTCAGCCTTCCATCGGGGCACAAACTTATCTCGTGCCCTCATTGGTCATGTGCGCGTTCGTGTGTGTTGGAGGAGGGGCTCTGTAAGGAAGTGGCAGATTTTTTCCGGCTGTATATTTTCAAATTCTAGCGATCTCGAGCTGGTTTCTCCAAAATTACCTATCCCACCTTTAATATCTAAGTTGTCTAAATGCTAAAATATCATGGCAACAACATAACTTGAATGCTACTTAACCATGCTTGCAGATTGCTGTGTCTGGCATCATTCTTGGTTTGAAAAACAAATCTATCATATCAATCATTGTAGTTTGTTTGAGTTTGTTTTAATTTAGTTTGGTTATATGTGACAGTGTTGACTTAAAATGACGTTATGAGGCGGATACAATGCTCTCTAGTGAGTGGTTAGGGCAAATCCAATTCCCCTCCTCCACGGAAATCAATAAGACTGGAGGGATGCCAGCATAGAAATGGAAATTAAGTGCAACAAGTTCACAATTCTGTCTCACAATACGAAGCAACCCCACAGCATAACTCCTACTGACAGTTGTGAACATGTAACTTTTTAAAGGCTTCACTTGTGCAGTTATTTACTTCCACAGGATGGATTTGCACTAAGTTTGACATTTATGCTCCCAATAGACCATAATGCATAATGTCTTTAGTGATACCTCTTTTAGTAAAATATCCTGTCAGCTGATAGATTTCAGAAAAATATTTCCTGGCATTCATGTCACCCTCAGGGTTAATTCTAATAACGAGTCAGCATATTATCTAGGCCATTGGGATAATGCTAGCATGCTGATGTTAGCTGTCCCCACATCATCACAGAGCAATGTTTTCTAGCAACCTTTGCCCCTGAGATCATAAGATGTCCTTTTTTCTCAGCTCTATAATCAGAATCACTCCATATCTAAACCCTGGCAGCATTATAATTAACCATAGGAGGACTGGGATTCACTTCAAGAGGCAGTGGACTGTTTCATTATGTTGCCATGTTTTCGGGTGATTTTTGCACTGACTACTGTAGTCCATCAAGAGCCAGACTGTTGCTTGATCTGTCCCAGTCCTCCTCCTTCTGTTTCTCCTTCTGGTTTTCTTCACTCCGAGTCCAAGCACAGAGTGCTGTGTGATCATTCTGTTGCTGTTCTCCTTCATCATCTTCTTCTTCATCTTCTTATCCTATAGCTCTGACCATGGCAAGGAATTACTTTTGATCCATGCTGTTTTTGATTGCCTTGAATACATAAGCAACATTATATTGTCTTTCTGCAAGTTGCTTAATGTTATAGTTCTAAAGCAGGAACCTTTTTCAAAAAAATAAAATGAGGTTTATACCAAATATTGGGCCAGGTTTATTGAATAAATAAGGTCCAGCTCTTAATCCTGATCAAGAGAAACTCTCATCACCTGAATTGTAAATCACCTGCAGCCATCATCTTACCCAAATTAGATTTGAATAATTGCCCTTTTCACTGAGAAAATAGATAAATTGTTTATTACAAAAATGCTGTAATTGGTATGACATTCTAACTTATTTTAGTATAACAAATTAATTGGTATTTTTAGAATCTTGCCACATAGTGAAACGTTTTTTTCTGCTCTATTGCATAATATGAACTGCTCTGTGTTCTCTCCCTTGGCATCATCTCATAATTCCTGTGTAAACATTCAGCTGACTAATTTGATTGAAGTAAATAGCCTTCAAAAAACAACCCCCAATTTTAGCATTGTATGTTTTTCACTCCCTCCTACACCTTAGCGATAATGTCAAGGTCAAATCTTCCTCTGAGGCGGCCAGCACTCCCTCAGCAGGACCCACTTGTCTGACAGTACAGTCGCTCATCACTGCTGGGGGGGGGGGGGGGGTTGTGATTTGAACTGTCTGCTGTGCCGAGGCACGCTGTGACTGGCTGTTGTGCAAGCACACATCTTAATTATCCCCCAATGGAGAGGCTCATTATGCTGATTAGGCCATTGTGCCAACACAAGCCTCCTTATATACAAGACATCTAATTAGGCATGCTAGCAGTTAACGACGGCGCCACCAGTGGATGTATGACATTACAGTGGGCGATCCGTCAAGTGACCACTGACAGGATTTTTGAATTAAAAATATCCTCATGACAAGTTGTGCAGAATGTTCCTAGTTTGACATTTTCCTAGATGTACTGGCATTTCCAACGAAATACCATGGAAATGGGCTTGAATAAGTATTACCTCGACTTTCAACACAGTACAGAGACTTTAACCTAAATCATGATAAATATTTAAAATATATTCACAAATATGTAAAGATAAGTGCTAAAACAATAACATTGGCTCACATAAAGCATGGGTGAGGATTTCTAAAAGTTTCTTGGCTTTTAATTTCTTTTTGAGTTTAGATGTCATGATATTAACACTGCTAATGAAATATGTCACTTTTTTTCTTGAATTTCTTAATCGAGTGTCATGTCTGTACTACTTATTAACATGCAGCAATATAACACACAATGGTTCAATTTTATTCTTATAATGGCATTCAAAAACGGTTAATTACATCTGTCTTTCCAGATCAGAGACAGTGGTGGAAAGGATGCTTTGCAACTGGATGTCTATCTGCCTCTACCAGTTTTTGAGGGTAACAAGAATGTATTATTACTTAAATGTATCAACTTCAATATGTAAGCTTTTTCCTTCATTCTAGTCAGAGTAAATTGGCGGATTTATTCAGTGATAATTATACATTTATGTTTGAAATACTTTATCGCTAATAGAGAACATTGGTGTAATGACATGCAGCAGAATTAAACTGTGGGCTCAGTTAATTGATTTCTCTATTTTTGTTATTAGTGCCGGGTATTGATAATGTGCATATATCTGTCCTTTCAATGGCTAATCATAACAATTAGCTCCTTGACAACATCTGAGACAACTTCTGAATAGCTGTGTGTGTGTGTGTGTGTGTGTGTGTGTGTGTGTGTGTGTGTGTGTGTGTGTGTTTGTGTTTGTGTTTGTATCAGGACTCTGCAGGCGAGCCCTTGTACAAACTGTTCCGAGCCATCAAGCACCAGATCGAGAAAGGGCCTGTGGACGTAAGAGTGAAGAAAGCCAAGTACACCCTCAACGACACGGGCCTGTTGGGCGACGATGTAGAGTACTCCGTCCTGGTGAGATCGACACACACACACACACACACACGTACACGCACACGCACACGCGCACGCACACACAACCGTACAAACTTTTAAAATCAGTGTCATAAAAACTGCACACACTGCTTTGAAATTGCATAGTGTTTTGTGCCTGGTGAGCAACAAAAACATGCACACACACACACACAAACACGCACGCAGTCACACACACAAGGGCAGTTGCCATGGTAACCACCCAAAACCCCCAAGGCGACTGCCTGCTTTTGTGTGACATCCATTTTCAGTGTCAATGTTCTCAGCTCGAAAGTGTATACAGTGTAGGTTGAAATGCAAGGCTTAGGTGAAAGTATTACAAGACGTTACAAGCGCAGACTAACAGCCACCTGCTCCACCTCCCCTCGACCTTCCAACCTGCGCCCGCTCCGGATCCATTTGGGCAGCTTAGGGAAGTGAGGTAAAGCCTGTGTGTCTCGCTGTGGTATCGTGTTTCAATAATGGCAGCTAATGTGAACACAGCTGTTTTCTGTTAAAAGTCAGCAAAAATAAAAAGACCCATGGGTAATGGCGTTGTCGGGGACAATTACCAAATTAGCCCGAATTACACGTCTCCCGCCGTGATGGATCGCCTCCTGTGATTGAATTACAGAAGGAGGAGAAGACGCAAAGAGCTAGATTTCACAGTCAGACACAGTGTTTCCTATCGGCTTTACTTCACAGCGTGCTCTTCCCATTCAACTCAAATGCAGACAGGCTTACATGTATGAGGTTGCCATTGCAAATGGATTGCCTGCCCACTGTTTGAATCTGTCAAGGGTCAGTTAGTTATTCCTGACAGAGTGACTGAGTGTGGGAGGAGAGGTGGGTCACAGCTTGCTCCTGCTGAGCCTCGGCCATTAACTGGCCAAGGTGACAGGAGACCTCTCAGGTGTCACCACAGAGAGTGTGTGTGTGTGTGTGGGTGTGTGTGCTTACATAAATCCGGTTGCCATGACGACAACATCCAGACAGAGGGACTTGGTGTGTGTTGATGGCCGGGTCCTCTGTCCCCTTTTGAATATTTCTGCATATTTGTCACTTGTGTGCGTGATTGCATGTATATTTCACATTACCACACGGTGCTCAATGTGTGTTCTTTTTGTGTTTGTGTGTTTTTCGTCAGACCCTGCAAGTGTTGGTGCACGGCGAGGGTCCCGATGTGACGCCCGTCAAGGTGCTGACCTGTGACACCATCTCGCAGGTGAAGGACAAGATCATAGAGCAGGTGTACAAGAACCTGCCGTACACCCTGCGGCCCAAGGTCGACAGTGTCACACTGGGTGAGTAAATGAGGGCACATAGGAGGAGGGTGAGCCCAAGCAGAAAACGTAGAACAATGATAAATACTGTAAGGCTTACAGGGAGTGGTGAGGTTGTCAAAACGCAGTAGCTATTTCAGTCCTGACAGAAATGCCTTTTAAATTAAACAAGAATGCGTTCATCTAAATAGATAATTGATTATTTATTTAACTCCAACTTCATTTAATAGATTAGTTTGATGTTTTCTCTCCGTTTGTGCAATAAAAAGCTTAACCAAGGATTCAAAGTTGTTAAGTGTCAGCAACAGAAAGAAAGCCTTCATCCCTAAACAAAGTTTTGCTCGCTACTGTAGTTAGAAACCTTGGGGACTGACTTGAAAGGCAAAAGCTCTATAGACATTTTCTAACATCAAAGCCATTTTTTATTCCCAAGCAGGCTGTAGATCAGAGATCCGTCTTCTTCCATGGTGAATCAGAAAGATAACCCCCTTATATTTGGTGGTACTCGTAAATGAATCAAATGTCACGGAGGAAGTTAAGCTCAGGTTTGCAATGGTGTTGGAATTTCTTTCTAAATTGAAAATGTTGCGGTGCAAATCACAGTTAAGAAAAGATTGAAATTATTCAGAAAATACTTATCTGTCACTTTCTCAGCCAAAATTAACTCGAGTGTGTCCGTAAATCTCAGGAGAGAGAGCGAGCCAGCAGACAGTGGGATGGGTAGCGGGATTTATTTCAGACCACATTATTACAGAATAACCTCAGGGAAGCAGTGACCAATGATGAAATAAATGCAATACATGTTGAAAGAAAGAAAGAACAAAAAAAGGGGCAAAAAAAGTGACAATTATTGGCAGACATTGCTGAACACCTCCATCTAGCCGGGGTATTTGTGTGACTTCTCTTCCTGTCTTCACCACAGAGTGGCGTCCGGGTTCAACAGGGCAGATTTTGTCAGATCTGGACTTGACTTCCCAGAAGGAGGGCAGGTGGAAACGCATCAACACTCTGGCCCACTACAACGTGAGTACTGATGACATTTCAGTGTCTTGATGAAACATTAAAAAAAAAAAAAAAGGCAAGACTATATATAGTGGGGGTGTGAGGAGGCAGAGAGGAAGGAAATAGCTGAACGTGGGCGTGTGGATGCGAATGGGGTTGCCTATTTCCACGCCAGAGGCTGAGCTTTACATCCTGTGTCACAGTGCTATGTATGAAATCTAAATCTCCTAAATGTTTAATGTCTATACTATTAACTAACAAATCAATCTGTGAATGTGTAAAAATATGTTTTTTTCCGACTCGCATGGCGATAACATGACAGCGGCATTCAAGAAAACAAACTGGCTGTATACTGTGCACTTTTTGGGGGGAATAAATTCCCAACATGCCCTAGTGACAAAGGGGTTTAAGCTGCTGACTACATAATCCTAATGTCTTGGTTCAAGTCCAGCTGGGGATTTTTATTGCACATCATCTCTCTTTATGACTTCCTCTTAAAAGCACATTTTAACATATTGGTACTTCGCTTATTAGATTTTTTGCAGAGAGTTAGATGAAAAAATGTAGCCCACTCTCACATGTGTTTGTTAAATATGAAGCTGCATCACAAATAATGGAAACAGAAGGAACCAGCTGCCCTGACTCTTATTTAATGAACTTCACAGTAGCTGGAAGGCATTTTATGCTACTGTTAAAGAATTGCTCTTGCTGTTTTCCTGTTCTTTTGCCTTTTTGTCAAGCAAAACTGTAAACATGTTTGTGTCCATAATTCAAACAATGCAAAACAACATTTATAGCCATTTTCCTTCACTGGTTGCATTAGTCAGTTTAGAAACATGCCTACAATTTTAAATGTCTCACCCCCAAGCCCGTTGAATTTGCCTGGACTTAGTTTGCTCTTGTCAGCTCTCAATGTCGACAGAAGGCCACTAAATCTTCTTGGCACTGTATCGATCCTCGGAAAATAAAGGTCACTTGCAAATATCCCCTTCTTGTCCTGCTTTTCGGTCACTTAAATCCCCCTCTTTCAAAGGTACTTCTCTCCCTTTGTTCATGCTACACGCTGATGACCTCGTGGTTGTTGTTAGAGGACAACTTTGCTGCTATAGATTCATTGGTTGTGTCAGAGAAGTGCTAATCACAGTATTTGTGGCTTCAATAATGGGTTGACACCAAAGAAAAGGCCCCCAATAAAGACCCACTGTTGCTGTCCACTCAATCGCATTGATTATGAATTAGTTCTGGGGCGCTGAAAGAGACTGCTGACCTCAGTAGCAGTACCTATTCAATTCAACTTGTGTGAAGTAATTGTATATTGTTGTGTTTGATGTGTTTTTCTGTCTAACAAAAGACTCTTATGTGCATTTCAGGTGCGGGATAACGCCACATTAGTGTTGTCCAAAGTGATTTCCATTCAGCAGAACTATGACCAGAACCAGGAAAACCATGAAGAGCGTATGTTTCTCTAAATACACTTATACTGTACACACAAACACACACTTGTAGATTCAAGCGTAGATCAGGTGTGTGAACTTGAGTACAATGCTTGCCTTTGTTTTTTTTCCCCGGGGCTTATGTCAACATCCCCGCTCTCATTAAACATGCTAATACATGTTGTTTTATGTATAGCACACTTTCAGATTATGCTCCAATAATACGCACTTTTATCCTCTGCCTTTCAAAATGTGCATTTCAGAGTGGTTTATTGTTTAGCATTTCCACTGCATACACATTCAAACACCCACCCCCCTTTTATCATCTGAATATGTTCTGTGAGAGTGTGCATGAATAAATAACAAGCTGGATTATTAGAAGAAAGTGTTGTTTTTCCCTCTGATAGGAAATGCTCTGTTGGAAGATGACAAGGTGTTCCACTTGGTGAGGCCGCTGGACGAAATGGATGAGATCAAATCTAAACGGGGAAGCATAAAAGACAAGTCGATGACCAAAGCCATTACAGAGATCTATTTAACACGACTCCTTTCCGTCAAGGTAAAAAGACATTTAGTAAATCGGATATTTGTTAACTAGTAATGCTCTGACCATGGCGAAAAAGCAAATATGCTTTTCCAGGAATGGTTTTCTGTTAAAAAAGCCAACTTAAATTGATGGCTTCTAGGTTTCGGATAGGGCAGAAAATGCAAACATACTCTCAGAAGAAACCTGAATAACTCCACTCTCATTGCGTGCAAGTAGTTATGTCTCGAGGCTATGATGTTTCTGTCTCTGCTCTCTGTCTCACACTATTTGTGGACTCTTTCAGGGAACACTGCAGCAGTTTGTGGATGACTTCTTCCGCAGCGTGCTGTGCTCTGGGACAGTGGTGCCACCGGCGGTCAAATATTTCTTTGACTTCCTGGATGAGCAGGCGCTGAAACACAACAACGTGGATGAGGAGACCATCCATATCTGGAAGACTAATAGGTACGAGTACTGAGCGCCTGCATGCACTGATGGTCACTCACATTTGTATTTGTATATACTAAGTGGTGGAGGAAGTACTCAGACCCCTACTTAAGTTTAAAATACAAGGCAAAGAGAAGATGTTCGAGGATTGTTTTTAATTGGTGGAACTGCTAAAAAGTCCTAGACATCTGAGTTCTGTGAAGGTTGGAAACCGCTTTAATAGCGTGTTGTTATAATAAGAAATATAACGTTTCATGTTAAATCTTCTGGATTATCTTTTAACTAGAAACTATCTATGAATGGTATCAAGTGAAGTACATTGTACAATATTTCCCTCTGAAATGTGGTGGAGTATAAGTACAATATAATGGAAATACTTACTGAAGGAAAGTACAAGTACCTTAAATGTACTAAGCTAAAATCTCCACTTGCACAAACGCTGTCTGAGCAATAGCACACATCGCGCTGCCTAAGATACAGTATCTCTCCAAGAAATAAAACGTACTTATCCAAGAAAGAGCTGAATACAAATGCCGAATTCCTGCTCACATAGTTTGCATCTGCAATCCCCCTGCTCCCAAGTGACATTTAAGTGCATAATTTAGTGTCACGTTGGCTAAGGCTCAAGCATACAAGACGACGTGTTGCATGTAGATGCCAGTGATTGACGTAAGACTGGAAAGAGAGCATCCACACAAGGACAGGAGATGAGCGATGTAATTACTTACTACCACATTCGGCATCCACCCGTTCTGTTTATCAAATCAACTGAGGGCAATGTATTAAATATGAATGTGTGTATGAGGCACAACAACAAACAAACATGGTAATTATGTCCCAAGCTAATTTAATTCTGTGATTATAGCAACATTGCTATTTTTATGCTTCTATTGTATTCTCACTGCAGCCTTCCCCGGAGATATAACCAAACCACTATGAATTTTACACGGTGTGCGCTTCGTGTCTCAGAAGACGCCGTGTTTGCACCGATCAGGGAAGAAAGTTTCCGGGGAGCTACTGTATTTTGGGCGCTCTTTTGAATTCACAAGCTAACATGAGGTTGAAAAGAAACAGATGGAGTGTGCGTTTTACTGTTCAGAAGGGAAATTAGCAAGCGTGCTCCACAGCATTACATTATGTCGGCGGTGCTTTAGGTTGAGTTGGTGTAACATGAGCATTTGTAGTGGCTTACAGAAGGCAAGCATCATTGACCTGCTCAGATCTCTTTTGTTATTAAGACAAAAGAGTCTTGTCTGAGGTTATTCTCTTTCATTTTCACTTAACAGCAATGATTCCCAGAGAGGTCAGCATCATATGAAGTAGTAATATAAACTGACAATCCAGGGTATTGTACTGATAAACTGACACCAACAAAAAAAGGCTTTTCTCTATCGCTGTTATTATCTTGTACTGCACTCAATTGCACCTCAGGCAAGTACTCTCCCAAATAAAATGCCTCTCTGACTCAAATGAATTCATCGATGTAATGTGGCTTCAGAAGCAGTAACAGCCACAGTGATGAACCGCTTTCATGGCCTTCCCCCCCCCATGCAGCCTTCCTCTGCGGTTCTGGGTGAACATCCTCAAGAATCCACACTTCACCTTCGACGTGCACGTGTCTGAAGTGGTGGACGCCTCGCTCTCCGTCATCGCACAGACCTTCATGGATGCCTGCACCAAGAGCGAGCACAAACTCAGCCGGGTGAGTGAAAACAGGAAGGAGGAGAAGGAGAAAAGGGGGGGGGGGGAGGGTGTGGAGGTGAAAGATCAAGAGGGAAGATGGGAAAACAGACAGAGATGATGAGAGCAAAAAGGATTACACGAGAAATAAAAAGGATTGAGAAGAAGGGATGCCAAAGGTCAATCAATCTTGAGTGCCATTGTTTTTTTACCATCCACTTTTCCTTCTCTCTAGGACTCTCCAAGTAACAAACTACTCTATGCAAAGGAGATCTCTTCATATAAGAAGATGGTGGATGAGTAAGTCCTTTAAGCAATATTCTTTCCATCTTGTTGTTTTCATTTCAGTTTTAAAAGATGTATCAATAACACGTAATGTGATTATTAACACCTCTTGTCTCCTCTTTGTGTGTCTGTTTTGTGTGTTTGTGTAGTTACTACGGGGGCATCAGGCAGATGGTTCCCGTCAGTGATCAGGACATGAACACTCATCTGGCAGAGGTGTCACGGGTGAGCAGCACTGCTGTCATTTTCTCTGCCACTTAGATTGCTCCGCTATTAAACTTATAATCCTTAAGATTTCTGTCGTGTTGATGAAGTGACAGCCGTGGTTACTGGGGTAACAGCAAGCAATAGAGGTTTAAAACTACAGCATTCTTCCTTCAGCAGCTACTTGATGAGAAAGACAATGGAAAAGCAGATGGTGTATGTATTTGCAGTGCGACCATACAAAGTCATGTTGTTTTTATAGAGAAGTCTGTCAATGTTTTCCCATCATGCCACGAGCAACTGTGATCTGATTTCATGTTTCGTGAATAGTAGGGTGTGCAGCTTGGGGACTGCAACACTTCATTTAACAGCTAACTGAGTGCGTCTGCATCCACCTGTTATTATGCACATTATTATTTGCGTGTGAAGACACTTAGTGGAAATGCAAAAATATGTGAAATATTGCAAATATGTTTGTCATCATGTTGCACACGTTTCATAAATGATGAAGTGGTTTTAACGGCACCCAACTGGAGAATTAGATGCATGTACTGTTTGAACCAACCCATCTTAAAGCTTACTCAATGAAACAACTGCTAATACATGATCGTATTAGTAGTTGTTGTAAGTACATTAAAATGCAGATTATTTTGCATTTCCTTTTGCCGATTTTTCTTAAAGTTTAGTTTAAATGTGTGCCAAACGTATATGGAAATTCCTGTTGAATGCTTTGAACACTAGCTGGAATTGGATAGCCAGAGCCTTCAGATTTTACGAGCTGAAATGTAATACAGTTCCTATTCAGAAGTAGAAGAGTGAACACTTAGGCTGATATCAATGAGATTAAACGGGATAGTTTCCTGTCAATCTCTTGTGAATAGATAGTCAATTTACATACAGTGTGAAAGGGCTCCACCACTATCAATAAATGCTTTATAGAGAGGTGAATTCAGAACGTGAACACATTGAGTGGCTCTTGCTGAACAAATGCATAAATGGTATCGAAAACCCAGGTTTTTATTTCATGACATGTTATCAATTATAATTTAAATGTACGTGTGATCTTTCAGAGGTTGGATTGTTTTCCCTTTAGTTTCTTTAAAACCTGAAAGCAAGTGTTTACATAGCTCATTTAACTATATGTAGTTTATGAGTTCCTTGCATTTTCTTCTTAACCTTTAAATTGTGATTCATGTTCTCCAGGCTCACACAGACACACTGAACACCCAAGTGGCTCTCCATCAGCTTTACCAGTATGCCAGCAAATACTATGATGGGGTAAGAGGCACTTCTTTTTCCTATCGCACCCAAAAGGAGGCTATTCCACTGAATGCACTACTGGCCACTATATTATTGCTTTTGCTTCTTTTTTTCACTCTTGATATGCCAGAAGAGTGATTGTATGAAATTTTAATTGAAAGCATTTCTGTGGGATGTGAATTGGAAAATTGCTCTGGGAATTGATTTTTAAGCGTCCATTGTGTATTGCCACTTGAGGTCACGAAAAGGGGATAAACAAAACCTAATGAACAAGTTGGATAAACAAATGGGGCTGTCAGTCTCCCCTAAGTGTGGCTTGCAAACAATAACAGCTCATATGACGTGACTGTTAATGTCAAATAACACTATCCTCTCCTCCCACTCTCCGCCCTTCTTTCTTCCTCTTTGTCCTGTGCTCATTCTCTCTCCGTCTCCCCCATCCTTGTTTTTTCACATTCCCGACCATCCTCTTGTGTCCTCCTCTGCCCAATTATTCCTCCTTCTTCTCTTCGCTTATCATTTCTGTCCTTCTCACCTTCCCTCCCTCTTTCAGATCATCGCATCCCTAGAAGAGGACCCAGCTGCCCAGAGTAAACAGCTGACCCTGCGGTTCCAGCAGATAGCAGCTGACCTGGAAAACAAAGTGACTGATCTCTAACCCACCAATGGATGGAGGGAGGGAGGGAGGGAGGGATGGGAATGATAGCATAACTCCAGTGACTACAGGGGCTTTTTCTTACTTCAGATTATATAACATTGAAATAAGGAAAGGTGAGAAGGGACTCATGTAGTCGTGTATATTGTACAACTTGGCCCTGGGACGATTTTCCGTGATGTGGAGTAACAGGGACTAATGAAATGCAGATTGAGAGCAAAAAAAGGGGAAGAAAATGATGGGTTACACTGTCATAGGTACGCCTTAAAGCTCACTTGCCAAACCTTAAAGGTCTGCGCGCTCACTCATGCTTCACTGAATATTGCTCCCACAATGCAGTGCGGTAGACCTCTCTCTGATAATTAAGCCCCTACGTGGAGCACTGGCACAGGCGATAATCAGATGTTCAATTTCTTTCTGTGTAGAAAAAGGTTTTAAGAATTGTATTATATATTTTTTTTATTGTGCAGTCTTTATGCGGAAAGCTTTATAAGGAAAAAACATTATCTTTTTAAATGGATCACCTTGTGGTGCGGATAGTGTTTTTATTAGCCTGTGTGTGCTTAGATGTCTGTGTGAAGTACAAATTTGAGTGTGCGTGAATGTGTGGGAATGTGTGTGCACACACAGGATGCCTACTGTCAGGCGTGAGGGCGAAGAGACGCCTGCTTTCTGTCATTTTAATCCCCCGTACCCAGTGACACACTGGAGCCTACGCTCTCTCTGAGCTTTTTGACAGAGACCAAAGGGTCCTAACAAGGGCACTGGTTTATCTAGCAATGCACAGGCTCATATGATTGATAGGCCTCCAGTAGTTTATGAAATATTTGAGTTAAATCATTTTGCTTTTGACTCAGATCTGTTTCAAGCTGGATCGCCAATTGTGCTTATGGAAATCGATTATAGCACAGTCTGTCTCCCTTTATTGTACAGTGCCATGATACATTCCACTTCAACTAAAGCACAGAAGGACATTTCAGAAGGGTTTTTAAAACATTTCAGTTAATCACTCTTTACAGATATTATTCTTTTTGTTATTAAACTTTCTTTTTTCAAGTGTCATCAAAAAGCAATTTCTTTCAGCCATTTCACTCATATTAGCACTGCAATAATGTCAGAATAACATGAGCCACAATCAACAGTCGCATTAACTAATTTCATATATTCACACAGTAGCAATTCAGCAATATTTTAGAGAGATTTCCAAATTGATTCATGCATTTTTTTAGTGCTCATGATTTTTAGTGCCATTCTTTAAAAGTATTACTCTTGTTATCTTCCAAATAGTCATCAAGCATTCTGCCTCTAAAGCTATGAAATCGCCTGTTGCTGATGTTAATTACCTGCTAGAGAAGCAGTTGGTACTTAAATGGTATGTTTTGAACAAATTACAGTTATTTTAGCCTTTGTGTGATGATCGGGAGGTCAGATTCAATCATGTACATAATTGTTTTAGTAATTGAGATGTTGATATGTCAGTGTCAGAGCCGAGGTGTGGACAGGGTAGGAATGAGGGTTTGGGATTTCTTGGGCCATTAAACGCTGCCACGCGTCATCCCTAAACTGTAGGTTTTGTTGTTGACAGATGATTTAATTGTCCTCCCCGTATCTGATGGTGGATGCGTGCAGTTGACAGAGCATAACGAGCTCCAGAGACCCCAGAATGTTAACGATTCCTGCCTTGGCTAGAGAGAGGTTTGCACAGACCTCGAGCCTGCCGCCTGCCTGCTGTCTCAGCGTGGCGTCCCGGCATCCCGACCAACAGCACTTGGCACTGCCCACTCAGCGCAGTGCAGAGTGGCTCTCACTATAATGGAATCAGCAGGGTAGGCTTTTGATCTTAATTGCGTGCCGACTGCAGACTCCATCCTTCTCGCTGTTGTTTACTGTGGACTCCTCCCTCACTGACAGAGTTGATGCAAGACGCTTCTTTCAGAGCCTTTCTTTAACCAAAAATGTGCCTTATTGAATAGGATAATACATATATATTGTTTCTAAATTATTCTATCGGTAACCTAGGTGATTATGATGACGATAGTGCTATAGACACAGCAATGTATTTGGACTTGTGATATTATGTGTGCCGTCTCAAATGCTAGATGCCCTGCTGCAGCCATGTGTGTGCCAATAGGCTGAAGACATTTCAGTATGATTTATTTTATGGTTGCAGTTTCGATGTGTGCATTTCCTTTGGGTGTCTGTGGCGTGTGCTTAGTAGGATTTTGGTGGCTAAAGCAAATCTCCAAAATGAATAAATGTAAAATAATGTGGCTGATGTGATTTGGGTTTCCCTTGAAAATGTCTGGCATTTCTAAATTAATCTGAAATCAAAAGGGTGTCCTTATGTAGATCGAATATAGCGCAAAATTGTTCCAACGGTGTACATTTTGTTGCCCTGTGTTTCTAAGCTGTTCCACAGTGTGTACGATAAATAACTATCTATACTCGACAAATGACTTTTCTTACTGCTGTGCAGTTATTTTTTTTTTATTTCTTGTTTCCTATACCATATAAATCTTTGTAAAACATGTTGAAATACTGTATTCTAACTGTATAATCCTATGCATTGAGTCCTGGGACAAAAAAAACAAAAGAGAAAAAAAGTTGTTCGTGCAGTTGTCGAGACTTTTTCCCATTTTGAATCTTGTGAATGTGCTGTAATGATTAAAGAAACTGGGACACTCCATTTTCAGTGCAGGACCATTAATGGAAGCCACAATTTCCTTTCCATCCAAGGCAGCTCAGAAGATTCTCCAACTTGTACCTGATCTTGTTGTACTGGATGATCTTAATTTTACAAAGGTTGTGTGTGGACGGAGCAGTTACCCACAGATTTCATCATACACTCCTCCGTGAATAAACTCAGAGACATATACGCCCTTCATATCTGCTGTGTTTCTTTCTCTTTTACAATATTGATTTGCTTCATTTGAACACTCACCTCTCATGCATATTGCATGAGTTACTATCACCTTGGGTGATGGAATAACACTTGCCAGTTTCTTGTTCAAGTCAAATAAATCCTTGCTGTAAGTCTTTGGTGTTCAAGCAGCTCTTTACATGCCCCCAAGTTTTACAGAGGAGCTTTAGCAGTAATCGGTGGGTTCATGAAAATGATCTCTGATCAAACCAACCAATCACTTTACAAAATAGAGGGCCCAGTGCTTGAACATGGCAGTTTTCCTGACCCTAAACTACTGTTTTGGTAGCATCAGTTCCTGTCAATCTGCTCAGAATACAGACTAGAAGCAAAGGTCTGGCTTCATGAAACGAGTTGATATTGTAAATAGCCGCACGGCATCTCTGTCATCGGCAGTGAAGGTTGAAAAATTGCTGCGAAAACATTAATTAAGTACTGACAGCTAAAAATGAAATTGGAGAAAAGAAAGATGAAAGGCAAAATTGCCTCATCTTTCTGCTTAACAAACCCTGACGCAGGGGTGGGGGATATCAAGACCGACCAGAGGCCTGCGCAGGCCATCCTCTTAACTGAGCAGATCATTGATGCAGGAATTGATAGAAAAACTTCAAGGGCCGCTGCCAAGGCAAGAGTGATTACTTATCGCAAGCATGCATCTTATACACTATCCTTGATCACTGCTGGAATATCAAAGGCAATACTGTACTTATTTCTATCAAGACATGCAGCTTACATCATTTTTGGAGTCAAGATTTAGCATGCAGTGCACTAGTGATAAGATGTATAAACAACCATGCCCTTGAATGTCTAGCAATCAATGATACAGCACACTGACAAATAACAATTTTACGTCCATGCAGGGTTTCTGACAAGAAACTGGGTTAAAATCTGCATGCTGCTGGCTTCTGTTCTCCTGCCCAAGATGCTACACACACAGCAGCCAGCCTCTCCTTCAGCAGGAGATGGTTGTGTTTACCAGCAGGATGCATTTCACATCCACGTTTCAAACCTTCTAATGAGATTTGGCTTTGATTTCCCACGCCTTAGGGGAAGAGGAGGAGGAGGAGGAGGAGGAGGAAGAACACTTGGTGAAAATAAAACAATGATGCTGTGGTGTCATTTTAAACAGTTGTTCTGATGAATAATTTAAAACCTCACAACTGATTATAGGGCTTGCTAAGCTCTGTAATAACCCTTGAGCAAATCAAAAATAACTTGCAAGGTTAGCTTACATTTTTAACAGACCTTGAACTACATGATTTGAGAGTGTTTAGAATTGTAAGTAATTTAAACCAAAGCAGCCAACGCTATTTCAGCAGACATTTAATCAGCTAAAGCATCTCTGAGTTTAATGGGCCGAGAAAAAAGAGAGTAGGAAGACTTGTCAAACTAAAACGGTTCTCTGGGAGGTAGAGTTACAAGCCACAGAACAGAAGCCTAACTATTTAGATGATAACATATCCTGTCAATATTGTTTTAAAAGTTGTGCTTTGGGAGACAACATACTTAGTAACTACAGTAAGTAAGTACTTGAAGTACAATTCGTATAAAATGTTTTCCATTACTTACATTCTTAAGTTTCCAGCTCTCTTTTTCATAGAGACCTGTGCAGATCAGTAAGCACAGTAAGACTCATACATGTAACACATTTCTAGCACATGCATAGCCTACTACAGTATACACATAATATATTGGTTCCACATTCAAAACTCAAATACAGGTGGCATAAAGCTTGAGTGTACGTAATAAATAAATATATATATATATTTATTAGATTAGATTCAACTTTATTGTCATTGTGCAAAGTACAGGTACAATCCAATGAAATGCAGTTAGTATCCAACCAGAAATGCAAGATGTGCTAAATATAAATAAATACAAGGTGCATATTATAAAAACTGACAATACAGGGAGCATTGAATGAGCAAAACATCTACAATATACAGATGTAAGTATTGACAGAGTATTAACAGAGTGCAAGTGCAGAGTGTATGTACAAACAGTAACATTATTAAAAAAATTGTTATATGTACAGTAACATGATTGTGCAAATAACATGTCCATTAAGTAGGCCTACGTTTAATCAGTGCAGTGAGTAATGGAGAGGAGTTCAGAGTCACAACCTCGGGGAAGAAGCTCTTCCTGTGCCTGGAGGTTATATATAACATTAAAAAATATATAAGTGTGTTTTGTAGCTGTTCATGTCTGAAGATAATTATATTGAAGTACAGTAGGCTACAGATTAAGTTATAATGCCCTAACTATCCAGACATTGATATTAACAATACAGTATCATGGGGTATTCAAATACTGTAATCCTATATTAAAATAGGACATGTATTTAGTAAAAGGTGAAATTATGTATCTTAACTTGTGTGAATCTTATATTTATAATCTATGGTGTGACGACCACATGGCTGCATAAAGATAATTTAGACGAGAGACGGTTTAGAAAAGTTATATAGACCATCTCTGCTCAAACGAAAGAGGTTTCCACGAGTTTTCTAAATCTCGCGCTGTTTCTCAATGTTGAAAGTTGCTGCATTTAAGACCATGGGAGCGACAATGCAATACATGTGAACTGAGTGAGTGAGTTCCATACACGTTGGTGGTTTTCTTAATGTTTTATGAATTACAGTTTATACTCATATAATAATTAATAGAGGGATACATTTAATCATTTTACCTCCAAAACGAGCTAAGTTCATGTTTAGGGTTCTGTGGATATCAAACCGAAGGCTGTTTTTCCGGGATCCCCTGAATGCAGCAAAGCACGTCCTATGATTGACAAACAACACTGACCAATCAGCGCAGGTTCTTCAACATCCTTACCCAATCACCGAAGTCTAAAAATCATACTGTCAAATCACATTTGAAGGGGCAGATTCTAATTTGGCACCGCGGTAGGGAGTTGATGCTGGAAGATGAATGAAGCAACTAGCTAGTGACAACAACATTACAGCATATTTAGTGGCGCTAATATGCTGTAAAAAGAAACCCCAGACAAATAAAGACGTCCCGGGGCACCTTCTGGGTTCCGCATGCTTGGCATACAAGCTAAGAAGAAAATACAGTTCATCCGTGGGGTTTTGCTAATAACAAACGCTAGCATGTGCTGGAAGGATGTATGATTGAAACTGTCAAAAATCAACTAAAAACATCATCTCAAAAGGGTAAATAATCACGATCAGCATTGTTTGAACTCTGAATGGAAAAGGTCTGGCTATTTCAATATGCAGTTTGATATACAGAGGTTACTGATAGCTAACTTAGGTAGCTTGTTACCGTTAGCTGGTTCAATTCATCTAACTTATATCTAACGTTACTGTCTATTTATTTATTTATTTAGATTTTCCTATGAGATATTACAGCAGCAGCAGTCAGACTATACTGTTATACTGTGTATACTGTTGAAATATTGTGTAATAAACCTGTAATGTGCAATATATACACTTTGTTTTGGCAATTCTACTGTGCAATAATCATCATATTTTTGATGTGCAAAACATAATTTGTTATATCTCCTTAATATGTTCACTTAGCTATGTAATGCTGCTAGTCATTTGTAGCCATGGATGTGTACTAATTTGTCTTTATTTTAATGTATCACTTGTGTGTGCTTTTCCTCTATATTTAACAAGTTAGCTCACTCTTTATTATTGCTTGCCTGTTTTACCTGCTATGTCACTATTCCCGTAACACTGTCAATGTCCCCGCTTTTGGACTAATAAAGGAATTCTGATTCTATTACTCTGGTTATTGTGCTCTGTGAATTCCAGTTCTTAAAACTATACCAAATAACCAGATTTTGTTCCACTCACACAGGCTGAGGTAGCACTGCCACCATGTACTCCAGCCCCAACAACCGCATGAAGCCCAGCAGCAGCAGCATCACTGAGCTGCTGGGGGCCCTGTGTGACAGCAGCCTGTCTGGGGTGTCATGGAAACGCCGGGCCCTCGGTGGAGTCTCACGGGACGGTTTCCGCCGAGCTCTGAAGAAGTGTGCTTACGGCGCCCTGCTGTCCAAGCTATTTCAGGATGACACCAAAGGGTCTGCCTCAGGAGCCCCGAGCGCCACAGCCAATACACCGGCCAAAAACAAAATCCTCATGATAAGTTTTGACTTGCGGGTAGCAGGGTGCCGAGAGGAAGCGGAAAGGTTGGAAGAGAAACTGGGGATGCTGATGATGGGAGAATCCTCTGGACTGAAGGAAGTGGACGCAGTCCTTGAGCTCTTGGTACATCTTGCTGGTTCTGCACCTCCACCTCCTACCTCTTTCAGTAGAGACTACATGAGACGGGAGAGGCCCGTGCTGCGGAGGCCCCCCCCCTGGAGCTACCAGAGCGAGGAGCTGCAGAGGCTCGAGGCCCGGGCGTGGGGTCTAGTGTGTGGAGAGGAATGGAAGAATTTGGAGAGTTTGTGTGGAAATCAGAGGTTGATGGATGCTCCTCCAGGCACAGGACTGCTGGCTCTGAGAACTAAATTAGAAGTGGAAGAAAGATTTGAGAGGGAGACCAGGATGACACTGTTTGGAGCGCTGCAGCACACTCGCACCTCAGACATTGACATAAGACTAGACCTCCCTCCTGTTCCCAGTAATATTGATGTTACTGGACTGTCTTTAAAGGTACAACACTATTTCTTATTTAAGCTAATGCATGCTGTTTCATTTGAGTTTTAAAATAGGTGGTGCGGGTCACTTCAGGTTCACTTAACATTCCAGTGGCCTTATGTTTACACTAGTGTTTGATTTAGGATCAAACCCCAGTGTAATGTTATCGTGTCGTTGGGATTTATTGTTCTCTGTTGCAGATCCCCACATGTTTAGATCAGTCTGAGGATGAGGGCTTCCAGTCAGCTTCCAACATGACCCCAGACTCTCAGTCAGAGACCAGCCCCGTTCCAGATGTTGATATATGGGAGGCTCTCCGCACGTTCGAGCCTGGGAGACGCCGCTGCTGGG